ATGCTGAGTCAAGCACCACTGCAAGCATGGGATAACAGCACCAGAGGTCTAGATTCTGCGAACGCTCTTGAATTCTGCAAGAATCTAGCCCTGATGAGCAAGTATACTGGCACTACAGCCTGTGTTGCTATTTACCAAGCTTCTCAAAGCGCATACGACGTTTTCCAAAAGGTGACCGTGCTGTACGAAGGAAGACAAATCTATTTCGGACCAACCACAGAGGCCAAACAATTCTTTGTTGACATGGGCTTTGAGTGTCCTGGCCGGCAAACAACGGCTGATTTCCTCACGTCCCTGACTTCGCCCTCAGAACGACAGGTCCGCCCAGGCTTTGAGAACCGTGTCCCTCGCACTCCGGATGAATTCGCGGCTGTCTGGAAACAAAGTAGCGCGAGAGCTAAACTCTTGAGAGAAATTGATGAGTTTGAAAGTCAATACCCACTCAAGGGCTCTTCGTACGAAGCCTTTGTGGATGCGCGACGGGCGATGCAGGCAAAGCATCAACGCCTGAAATCGCCTTATACCATTTCGGTTTGGGATCAAATCTCTCTCTGTACGACTCGGGGCTTTCAGAGACTTAAGGGCGACATGAGCTTAACTCTCTCTGCCCTCATTGGTAATTTCATCATCGCCCTGATTGTCGCATCCGTTTTCTTCAATCTTCCGGACAACACCTCGAGCTTCTATTCGCGCGGAGCATTGTTGTTCTATGCAGTTCTGCTCAACGCATTTTCCAGCGCCCTTGAAATCCTGACACTCTATGCGCAGCGCCCAATTGTGGAGAAACAGGCACGATATGCATTCTACCACCCGTTCGCGGAAGCAGTAGCGTCCATGTTGTGCGATACTCCCTACAAGCTACTGAACTCGATCACCTTCAATCTGCCTCTATATTTCATGACCAATCTGCGTCGGGATGCCGGAGCGGTTTTCACATTCTGGCTGTTCTCCGTGGTAACCACCTACACCATGAGTATGGTTTTCAGAACGATCGCTGCGACATCTCGTTCACTCTCGCAGGCCTTGGTCCCCGCTGCCCTGCTTATTCTTGGCATGGTCATTTACACTGGATTCGTCATTCCCACTCGGAACATGCTCGGCTGGTCTCGCTGGATGAACTATATCAACCCCGTGGCCTACGCGTTCGAGTCCTTCCTCATTAACGAGTTTTCCGGTCGCAAGTTCGAATGCTCGAGCATTGTTCCATCCGGATCGCAGTACGACTCAATGTCCATGGACTATCGCATCTGTTCCACGGTTGGTGCCCAAGCTGGATCAACAGTCGTGGACGGGTCACTGTACCTCAAACAGAGTTACCAGTATACCACCGGGCATGAATGGCGCAACCTGGGAATTCTCATTGGGTTTATGGCTTTCTTCGCCTTCGTCTACCTGGTCAGCACCGAATACATCTCGGAGCAGAAGTCCAAGGGAGAGGTGCTGTTGTTCCGTCGGGGCCACCAGGCAACCCTGCCTACAGATGGAGACGTCGAGGTCCAACCCAGGCCCGGTGGTGCAGTGAAAACCGAGACCAGTGGCGACCAAGAAGGTGTCCGCATTCAGAGGCAAACCGCGATCTTTCACTGGGAGGATGTGTGCTATGATATCACCATCAAGGGTGAAGACCGACGGATTCTGGATCATGTGGATGGCTGGGTGAAGCCTGGAACTTGCACGGCTTTGATGGGTGTCTCCGGAGCAGGAAAGACCACGTTGTTGGATGTTCTGGCCACTCGAGTCACGATGGGTGTCGTCACTGGCGACATGTTAGTCGATGGCAAGCCCCGCGATCAGTCGTTCCAAAGAAAGACCGGTTACGTCCAGCAGCAGGATGTACACCTCCCTACGTCCACTGTCCGTGAAGCACTTCAGTTTAGTGCTCTGCTACGCCAGCCAGCCCACCTTAGCCGGAAAGAGAAACTGGACTACGTGGACGAAGTTATCAAGCTACTGGGTATGGAGGCCTACGCCGATGCCGTCGTCGGTGTTCCTGGCGAGGGCTTGAACGTCGAGCAGCGTAAACGTTTGACTATTGGTGTTGAGCTTGCGGCCAAACCTCAGCTCTTGCTCTTCCTTGATGAACCGACATCCGGCCTTGATAGTCAGACTTCATGGTCGATCCTGGACCTTATCGATACTTTGACACAGCATGGACAAGCGATTCTTTGCACCATTCATCAACCGTCCGCCATGTTGTTCCAGCGGTTCGATCGCCTTTTGTTTCTAGCAAAGGGTGGCAAGACCATTTACTTTGGCGATATCGGTGAAAACTCGACGACTTTATCCAATTATTTTGAGAGGAACGGAGCTCATACTCTGAAAAATGGAGAGAATCCTGCCGAATGGATGCTTGACGTCATTGGCGCGGCCCCCGGGTCCAAGACCGATATAGACTGGCACAAGGTGTGGAGAGAGTCGCCAGAGTACACGGGAGTGAAGCAACACCTCTCTGAGCTCCGGTCAACCCTATCTGCCCAGCCCAAGGATGATTCCGATCCCGAAGCCCTTAAGGAATTCGCCGCACCGTTTCATTTCCAACTCTATGAATGCCTGGTTCGGGTGTTTGCGCAGTACTACCGCACCCCGACCTATATTTGGAGTAAAACTGCTCTGTCTGTCTTAACCGCTCTCTACATCGGGTTCTCCTTCTTCCACGCGAGTAACTCGATCCAAGGCATGCAGAACCAGATGTTTTCCATCTTTATGCTGATGACCATTTTCGGCAACCTCTGTCAGCAGATCATGCCGCTCTTCTGTACCCAACGTTCGCTCTACGAAGTGCGCGAACGGCCCTCCAAGGCCTATTCCTGGCAGGCCTTTATGACCGCTAACATCCTGGTCGAATTACCATGGAACACCTTAATGGCGGTCCTAATGTTTGTTTGTTGGTATTATCCTATTGGCTTGTACAACAACGCCAAGCCCACTGACGCAGTCAACGAGCGCTCGGCACTCATGTTCCTTCTGATCTGGGTCTTCCTCCTCTTCACGTCCACATTCGCTCACATGGTCATCGCTGGAATTGAATTAGCCGAGACTGGTGGTAATATCGCAACGCTTCTCTTCTCCCTCTGCTTGATCTTCTGCGGTGTCTTGGCTACCCCGGATGCAATGCCGGGATTCTGGATCTTCATGTACCGTGTATCGCCCTTTACATATCTGGTCTCAGCAATGCTGAGCACGGGTATCTCCGGGACAAATGCGGTCTGCGAGTCAATCGAATATCTGACTTTCAATCCCCCGGACAACCAGACGTGTGAGAGCTACATGAAGGCCTACATCAGCGTCGCGGGTGGGTACCTGGAAGACCCATCGGCGACGTCAAATTGCCAGTTCTGTACCATCAGTAGCACGGACACGTTCCTTGCATCCGTGTCCAGCTATTTCTCCGACGCGTGGCGGAACTTTGGGCTCATGTGGGTGTACATCATCTTCAACATTGCGGCCGCGGTGGGGATTTACTGGTTGGCCAGAGTTCCCAAGTCGGCTGGCAAGGCCAAGAAGGCGTGATTTGACTGCTACATTTATGTTTACGTGCGGTGCTGTGTACTGCTACAACGTTCACTGCCTATCATTCAAATTGGGAACTGTCTAGAATGTCTTTGCGAATCATTTGCCACATTCCTTCCAGCATACCCCCGATATACCACTCTCCTACCTTTGTCGTCTAGACTCACTTCATCTATTCGACTCATTTATTTATTACTTTCTTGACTCTCGTTCAATGACCCTTCTGTATCGCTGTTTATATTTCACCGCTTTACTTCTTCGCGGAACTGCTGTATGCAAATGTACCACTAGGGTATCGCTGCTTCGACTCTTCTGTCCTTATTGTCTTCATGTTACTCTTTTAGTCGGTTGTGTCACCTAGAGCTATTGCTTAAGAGTACAGATTACTTGCACTAAATACTTATCTCATTACACACTTCCATCATACAGGTGTTCTTCTCCGAAATCTAATTTTCACATTTGTGCTCTGACATAGAGTACAATTTGAAAGACATAGGAGATGCTCGAGGTCCCATAGTCTTCGAATTATGGGTGAAGACATCGCTGTCTTATCAGTCCCGAGGGAGGAATATATGATTAATATGTACAGTTCGCCCGAGATTTCTGTGGTGCTCAGGAAATATAACGCGATGGACCAAAGAGTGCTCCATAGGCTCCAGACATTCCCGAAAGGAGAGCCTACTCAGTGAACAAATTGCCGCTTATATATTTGAGCCCCGTATCCACTGCCACCGTGACAACCGTCTTCCCCGGCCGGCTCCAGCACCACAACATGCGTAGACGGCCACTTGGCCTTAAGCACCCTGGACACGCCCATCACCATCCCGGCGCCCCCCCACTGCGCCGCAGAACGCATCAATCCCGCCAGGAAACTGCTCCACCAACTCAGCACCAATCCCCTCATACCCAGCCCTCGCATCCTTATTATTAAACTGATCCGCAAGGTAATACTCCTCGCCCCGCGCGAGCTCGTTCGCTCGGCGGACCATCGAGTCCGGCGTGATGCCCGCGGGATTAGTGGGGCGGTGGTGGTAGTTGTGATGGTGAATTGAGTGATCATGAGACTGCAGTTCTCATGCAGGACGGAGGTTGGATTCAAGTTAGAATGGGCACTTTGCTAGTCGAACTGGTACTTGCTGTCACAGTTGACTAAGATGGAAGTATGAGTTCAAATCTATGATCCATCTCGACCTCCTGCGGTATCGACCGGATCCTCCGCATCCGAACCGCCGGCTGGAATTGTCTCTATGCGGTAATTGCCTTGACGTTGGCAGTGGAGGGGCTCTTGGCCGGAAGTTTTACCTAATGCCCAGCAGAGTGACGGTGGAGATACCATCCGTCAACTCGGTGTCCTTTGCTGGATTGAAATCAATCCACTCACGATGATTGATGCTCTTTCACCTATTAGACTAAACTGTGTGCTCTCACCAAGCACTTCATTCGCATCGATTGTCCTCAAAAATGATATACTAGGCGTAGCACTTGTTGAACACCATACAATCTATAACCCCATCCAGAACATATCCTCATCATCCCAATTCTGGCGCCACGGCAATGGCAGACGTCGATGCAGTCTCGTCACCATCTCGACATACCTTGGCTCTATCTCTTGACTGATCAGACCATGTCGAAGGAGGAAGTCAATGACAGCAACCGCACTATTCGGCTTGAACAATCCCCTCCGCAACGCATCGAGCACTTGATCCGCATCCCACAGCCGAAAGTTCTCCACTTCTCCATCCCATGGTCGAGGCACCGTCCCAGGGTCCAGTTGAAGCTCGTAGAGGTATTCCACCTCTGGCAAGAGCAGCGCCATAGAGCCATCGCCCCCGAGCTGCGACCCGAGACCTTTGACATGAAAGTACGAAATACATCCACTGCGACGCAGGCCCTTTTTCAGGACCGCACTGGGTATCGACGCCTCCTCCGCAGCTTCCAGCATGACCGTACTGCGCGGCGTCTGCCCAACAGCCAGGGCCCCGGCCGCAGTACAGTCCAGCATCCCCGGGTAAGTCTGCTTCCTCATCGAGCGTTTCGCTATCCACAGTCGGATTCGAGCATTCTCAACACCATCATCGTCGACGACATACCCCAGCATCTGCACGCCGCTCGTCACTACCCCGAAATACGCACTGGCCGACCGTTCGATCTCGAAGACCACGTCGCCGTCCGGCCCGTAGACCGGGAACCGCTCATCGCGCCAGCCATCCCGAATCTCGGTGCATCCAGCCTCGAGCATCCGGTGAACGACAGCTTCCATCATCTGCGTCCGGACCGAGCGAGAGGCAGGTGTCTCGGGGGGAGTCATGAGAACGACTGCGCGGGGACGGTCGACAACCACCCAGTCCTTGTCCGGCCAGGGAATGCGCCGCACCAGGGTCGTGGGGATGTATCCCAGATCCGCATCGATGCCCTCGACTCTCAGCGCATGATATCTGTCGAAGAGATCAGCGTGCAGAGTCGGCTTCGCGTCGCTGTACGGGAAGCTGCAAGGTGTATAGTATCAATCAACGGACCATCCTCGTAGGTTCTTGCCCTGCAGGAAAATATACAGTACATACTTATCTAGGTGGGCGACGATGTCATAGGGAGATTTGGCCATGGCTGGCTAGATATCTCTCACATCAAGTTCAGCTGTCAGTATATATATGTTCTCAATCATCAGCAAGCCACATACCAGTTCCCTCGAGACTGCTTTACCGAAGGCCACGTGTTAATGACATTGTACAGTGCGTATCTACTCTTTCTTGGGGGAATCCCGGGATCTGGCCGGCTGCCAAGACCTGTGGGGCGGATCGAGCCAGTCGGGAGGCTCGGATCCGGATCCGAGTGATGCCATGCTCCGGAGTTCTGCCTTCTGCCCGCCCCGAGCTGCTCGCCGCCTTGGAGTCTTCCGGTAAACCACGTCAAGCTGGGTTTTACACAGTACATATTAGAAGCTTGACTTGCGTTTTGAGTAAGGTAAGAATATATATGTGTACCTTGGAGTTCCAAGCGGTGGTACTTCTGGGTTTTAGAATGTAACCACATGTAGTCGTGGACCAAAAAGTCTTTGTCCGACAGAGAGCTTAATATGGACTCTGTATGGAGCTGTATCTAACTCTAGCTGTGAACAATATTGGCTTTCTCACATTCATTGATCTCTTCTCCTTGCTACCTTGATTAGTTAATAGTAATGATGATTTTGGTCAATTTAGAAAAATCGCGGTAGGCGACAAAGCTAAAGGGAAAACAGAAACCGCAAGCCATCACCTCCTACTAATCCACCGAGTAACAGAGGGTATAATAACACCATAAACCCGCCAATAGAACGCCACTGTAACGCATGAAACCATGCAACTTAACAACGCGAGTCAAAACGGAACGTCCCAAAGATATGTCAACCGCAGTCGCTACTCCAACATAGCCACCAGCAATCTCTGATAATCCCCGCTTGTCTCCCCCTTCACCCGCTGGATTAGACCGGTCCGATAGCGGTGGTGGTAGGCGCGCTTGATGGTTTCCATGTGTTGCCGATTCCAGTGGAGGCGCACCACGCGGATCACCAATTGGTTGTCCTTTGTCCCCATACCCTTCATGGATTCTTCCAGCAAGACCGCATCGCGCATCGCCGGATCCAAAGCCGTCCGAAGCATATACAGCAGCGCGTCCTTCATGTGGCCGGAGAACTCCTTCTCGATGTGCGATTCCAGCGAGAGATGGTACCGGGCGGCGAACGCCTGGTTGAGCGCGCGGAGTTCGTTGTCGGAGCTGCGCGCGAAGAGGGCGGTGACCTCGTCCGCGTTGTTGACGATGCGGGCGGCCGTGGCGCCGTGGAGGTTCTGGGCCTCGCTCTCGATGAGGCGGTAGTCGACGGGCATGCTTTCCTCGTGGCGCGCGGCGCGCAGCACGGCGGTGAAGAGGGTCTTGGTTTTGAAGGAGAGGTCGTCGGCGACGTCTTGCTGGAGCGAGCGCCCGCGGTAGGTGCGCTCATAGGCGGCCTGGATGGCGCGGAGATCAGCGTTCGATCGGCCGAGGAGGACCTCGTTCAGCAGCCATTCCTTGGTGCCGATCCCCTGCACGGCTTCGCGGGCGAGCGCCGTGTCGTGGGCTAGGGGCCCGTCGATGATGGCGAGCAGCCCCTGGCGGAAATAGCCGCTCGTCTCGGACTTGACGTCGGCGTAGAGGTCCCGGCGGATGTGCGATTGGTACGTGGCGCGGACGGCGGCAACCTGCAGCGGATCCAGCCTGGCCAGCACGGCGATCAGGCTCTTCTCGTCGGTCCCGAAGCCTTTCATCGCCTTGCGCAGGACGTCGGCTTCACGTCGAAAATCCCCGGGGGCCATCTGGCCGGGCGCATAGCCGAGCGATGGGAAGGCGGGAGGGGGGCCGTATCCTTGCTGTTGTGGAGGTGGAGGTGGGTGGTGATAACTGTTGTTGCCGGGGTATCCGTGCTGTTGAGCTCCTCCTGGTGGTGGCAACCAGCCAGGCGCCGAAGGTTGATAGCCATATGCACCGTGCGGTCCGGGGTAAGGTGCTGGATGCCCTTGTGCTTGATTGTAGTCCCACTGGCCTGGTGGGCCTTGGCTGTGCGGTGGCTGATGGTACGGATTGTAAGACATGTCTGTCCAATAGCTGATAGTCCGGAACCGGTTTACTTGACTATAATGTGGTGGAAGAAGGTAGATTCACTTTGCAGCGGCGTATGTTTGCAAGTATGCGAGGAGGAAAGTGGAAGGAAGAGTCATTTCAAGGGCTGCGGACATTTTGCGATGACGAGAGGGGACGGAGGCGCCTTCAGACCGAACCGAACCGAACCATGGTAACCGTTGTGGCGCAGCGTGGCTGAGCTCGGAGCTCCCAAGGCTGGGATGACATCATTCCTGTGGTACATGTAGAACTACTCCGAATGAGTATGTACAACTGCTCAGCCCCGCAAGGTTGAAACCAGATTGAAAGATCAGCGTCACCTAGATCTGGTAACATATCACGAGATTCAGCATGTGATCCTTACGTTGTATGTTGCTGTACACACAAGCAATATCATCATAACTCGCAAATAAAAGGCTCGGTGCTTCCGGGTTAGGGTACGTCCTTAAAATGTTAGTGTCCCGATGGCCATTGGTGGTGACTAGTAACTAGGATCTGATGCTCCTTCTTTAGAACCCAGACTAGACCTGGCTGCCCCTCATGCGCAGATTTGTTCTACGTGAATCTGCTTATCGCTCAAGGATGGTTGGCTGGTGATATATTAGCTCCGTACGGACCTCCGCCAGCCACTGCCCGAAGCGCGTAGACTGATGCAATTCCCATAACTATAAGCTTGATGTTCCCCCTTTTAAGCTCCGAGTTCCCCACAACCTGTCTCAGCGTTGAGTCCCGAACCAATGGAGAATATTCACACCTGTAGAGATAATGAGTTCGGTCCTCAAGCCAGCCACGGTTGTCGCGGCGGATTCGACTTTACCCTACTCTTTGAAGAATGTTTCTTCTCAATCGCGCCCTCAGTCCTGCTCTTGCTCATTCTTCCCGTTCGTTGGAGACAGCTGCGACCTGGGCGGATTCGCAAAGTCTCGCAAAATTGGCTCTACAGGGCCAAGCTGGTACTATTTTCTCCAACGAGTCATTGTTGTTGTAGGTATAATATTAACACAATGTCGTTTCTAGGGCCTCGGACATGCATTTGGGGCAACTCAACTAGCTTTACTGGTGGTTTGGCTCTTGCCTCATGCACCACGAACGCAAGCATCCCTACCAGTTGCGGCATTGTCTTTCGTGACCTCACTTGGTCTATTGCTACTGTCGCATTGGGAACATCTCTTCTCTATCCATCCTTCCCACATTCTCAATCTTGCTTTATCCGTGTCACTCCTTCTCGATGCGGTGCGCGCCAGAAGCTTATGGCTTGCGTCCAATTTCGCTATCGCGGGACTCTACTCAGCAAGTATTGCGATCAAGGTCGTCTGGTTCTACTTGGAGTCTCGCTCAAAGCATGCGCTGCTAGAACAAGCCAGTGTTCAGTACGGCAACGAGGAGATCACTGGTCTCTACAGTCGCGCCTTCTTCTGGTGGGCCAATCCCTACCTTTTTCTAGGATTTAAGTCTCTGTTTTCTATCCACGATCTACCGCACCTTGACCAAAGCTTATCCGCCGAGATTCTGCATGAGCGGTTGCATAACACATGGAATCAAGGTAGGCGACGACCCTCATAGTAGGTCCTCATCCTTGGGTTGTTATATCTGATCCGCAAGATAGCGTCAAAGTCTTCGCACAATGCTTTAGCTTATTGCACGATGTACACTTTCAAGTCCTCAATGATCTGTTCGTTCATTGCAAGACTAGCAGTTATCGGACTAAGCTACTCGCAGCCGTTCCTGATCACGGCATTAACAGACTATGTGGAGAATACCAAGCCTGACCGAAACAAGGGATACGGCTTGATTGGCGCATTTGGACTTGTCTTCTTGCTCAAAGGGGTAAGAACCACGATATAGTGCCACAGTGGTGACAGCCAAGCCATTTCTTAACTCATTGGTGTAGATCTTCAGCTGTCTCTATCAGCATCACAATTACCGCCTGATAACAAAAGTCAGAGGCGCAGTCGTATCTTTAATATACCAGAAGACCCTGACTCTGCAATTTGATGAGAACACCGACTCGGTCGCCTTAAATCTGATGAGCAATGACATCGACAACATCGCATTCGGAATCCAGAACATGCATGAAGTGTGGGCAAGCCCCGTGGAAACCGGCATTGCACTGTACCTGTTACAGCGGCAAGTCTCGTGGGCGGCGGCCGTTCCAGCCTTTATTTCTCTCGTGGCTATGTCATCTACACACCTTCTTTCCAGCTCAATGCCTAATCGACAGAAAGCATGGATGCAGGTCGTACAGCAGAGAGTGGCGTTCACATCTAGCTACCTGAATTCCTTTGCCGCAATCAAGATGCTGAATCTGCATTCCCGCCTCGGACTGATCATGCAGCAGTTACGGATCAACGAGTTGAACAAAGGGAAGAAGTTTCGCCATGTTATGGTTAAAATGAACTTGCTTGGTATTTTCCCCCCCGGGTTGTTAAGGAGCTCAAATTGTGAAAGCTAATACGCGCGTGCAGGTGGTGCAATTGAGAATTTGAGTCCGGTGCTTACATTGAGTATCTATGCGGCCATCGCCCTTCATACGGGTCGAGCCCCCTTGGATATGGCTGCGACTTTCACCACCCTCTCCATTATTTCTCTATGGAGTACCCCGCTGTCAAACCTTGTTTACTCAGGACCCCGAGTGGCAGGAGCCCTGGAAAGCATCCAGAGGATTCAAGCCTATCTTACAGCAGATACAAAACCTGACTGTCGCACAGACCAATCACAAACTAACATTGCCGCATCCAAATCAACCCCAATCGAGGTAATGACTGAAACTGCAGGATCCATTGAGCTCCTTCCAAGTACAAGCAAAGTCGAGACGACCAGTGTTTCTACGGCTGATCTGGTTCATGCGTCTGACGCGGACTTCGGCTGGACAAGCACATCAGACCCTACACTGTCGAATGTGAACATCAAGATTCCTCCTTCCTCCGTGACAATGGTCGGTGGACCAGTGGGCTCGGGTAAAAGCACCCTGCTGAAAGCATGTCTGGGCGAAGTGCCTTGTCTCAAAGGCTCTATCCATATCAACGTTGCCAACGTCGCGTATTGCGGTACGAAGACATGGATCCGTAACCGCTCGATTCGGGATAACATCTGTCACCCCCTTCCATTCGAAGAAGACTGGTACCGCACCGTCATTCAGTTGACAGCTCTCGATCACGATATCGATACCCTACCTGAGAAAGACCTCACGGTCATTGGGAGCAATGGCATCTCCATGAGTGGTGGACAACGGCAGCGAATTTCCATTGCTCGTGCAGTGTATGCGCGGACCAAGCTCGCCATCTTTGATGATGCGCTGAGTGCCCTGGATGCTACCACTGCTGCTCATGTGTTTGCCCGTGTGTTTGGCTCTCAGGGTATCTTACGTCGTAATGGGGTTGCAGTGATCCTGGCGACACATGAGGGAAGTCATCTAGCTCATGCTGATCATGTAATCTTCATGGATCAAGGAACGATCGTTGAGCAGGGGCCTCCTCGGAAACTTTGCAAACTGAGAGACCACGTTATGCAGAAAGAAGTTGAAGACAGATCCCTTCAGCAAAGGATTTCGGATATAGAGCAGCGAAAACCCCGGTCCAGCAGCCCAATACACCCTGACAACGTCTTAGCACGGCATAAAGGAGACTTGTACGACTATGCCTACTATTTACGCACATCGGGCGGGTGGTCAATGGTGCGCTATGCAGGAGCGCTGGTTGTTGGTCTCTTCAGTGCGCAATTCGCCAGTGAGTGAGCCTCAGGCATACATGTACCTTCTAACATCACACTAATCTGTTCTCTCAGGTCTTTGGGTTCAGTGGTGGGCGGAGACAAATGAGAAAAATCCCTTCGCACAGCTGGCGCAGTATATTGGCGTTTATACCCTCTTAGCAGTGGCCGCGGCAGCCCTTTGGGCCTACTGCATGTGGCTCGTCTTCTGTCGCATCGTCCCCACGTCCTCAAGTCGACTCCACGAGAACCTGGTCACCACGGTCAAAGACGCACCGCTATACTGGCATACATCAACCGACACGGGTGTGTTCCTCAACCGCTTCAGCCAAGACATGACAATGATAGATCGGTCGCTCCCAGCAGACTTCTTGAAGACATCCAACTACTTCGTTCAGTGTGTCATTAGCGTGGCTTTCATCTGTGTCGGAGCCAAATACATGGCCGTACTGATTCCTGTCACCGTGTTCGTCATTTACTGGATCCAGAAATTCTACCTTCGCTCGTCACGGCAGCTTCGTCATCTCGAATTGGAAGCTAAGTCGCCACTATATACCCAGTTCACCGAGACTCTTAGCGGCCTTATCACTATCCGAGCCTTTGGCTGGCAGGATAGCCTGCAGGCGGAGCATAGGGATCTGCTCCAGGCTTCCCAGCGACCGTACTACTTCCTGTTCGTCATTCAACGCTGGTTGAACCTCGTGCTAGACCTGCTTGTCGCGGCTCTGGCAGTCATGTTGGCTGTTTTCGCAGTCTTTGTGACTAACATAGGCCCCATCGGAGTTTCGCTGATATCCCTCATCACATTTAACGAACAACTCGCCGAGCTTATCAACTGCTGGACGTCCCTAGACACCAGTATCGGCGCCATATCTCGGATCCGAAGCTTCGGAAAGGTGCCCACCGAGAAACTTCCTCAAGAAACCCAGACCCCGCCGCTTACCTGGCCATCTGAAGGATCGATCGTCTTTCAGAATGCGACCATGGCTTACGCATTAACTGCCTCCCCCATTCTCCGCAAGGTAACACTAAGCATCCCTGTTGGCTCTAAGCTAGGCGTCTGCGGCCGCACCGGTAGCGGCAAAAGCTCTCTCATCCTGGCTCTCTTGCGCATGATCGAGATCCAAAGCGGGGATATCAGTATCGATGGCGTGAGCCTTCAATCCTGTCCGCGTGATAGCATCCGCAGCAAGATCACTGTGATACCTCAAGAACCAGTCCTGTTTCCCGGCACGATTCGGGAGAACATAACTTCGTTCCAGGCCGTGGACGATGACAGGGTGCTCCGTGCTTTGGAAAAGGTCCAACTGAGGGAGTACGTCGCAACCCACGGTGGTCTTGACAAGGGTATAGAGGACTTGCCGTTGTCGGCGGGCCAGAAGCAGCTGCTCTGTTTAGCGCGGGCTATCGTCTCGAAACAGAAGATTCTCCTGCTGGATGAGGTGACGAGTCATGTGGATGATGAGACAGACCGGGTTATGCAGCGGGTTATTCGGGAGGAGTTTCGCGGATGTACTGTCATTGCGGTTGCGCATCGGGTGCACACTTTGGTGGATTATGATCGAATTGTGGTGTTTGAGGATGGTCGGGTGATAGAGTATGATGCGCCGGCGGCGTTGCTTGGGCGTTCGGGGTCGGTGTTTGGGCGGTTCTATGATCAGACGCGATCTTTGAGGCATTAACTTCTGGCTGTCACATTCCTGCATAATAAACCGCAATCATCGCTCGCAGGACTATCGCACCCATCGGGTCAAATACATCTCGTGTCCATATTGATGTCACCTGACGGTCCCGGGTCCTTGACGTCGGGCTAGAAAGACACCCCCTTTGTCATCGTCAAAAAAATGGCAGTTGGCTATTTTCGGCTTAGAAAACTTAACCTCTCCCAATTAATGTTGTATTCTCGAACATGGGTAGATGACCGTTGGCTTATGCAATAATATGTCGATTGGACAAAGAGGCTGGCGTGCCTGCTGGCTGCAGCTGTGTCCCATCGTATCATAAACCTCTGGATAAGAAAACTATTACCTATGTACCTTGTGTTCAATATTGCCGCTCAAGGATAGCTTGGGTCATTGTTTTGCTTGAGGTTCTTGTTGGTCAATGCGGAGATACATCAGACAAGGCTGCAAACTTGACAAAAGCTTGATTGTTGCACGAGGTACAGAGAGTATTTATGGGTGGGTAAGATCTGAAGTCAACGCGATGTCCGCATTGGGATGAGAGACTGACGGAAGATGACCTAGCTACCATACAGTGAATGTACTGAGACTTGTACATTAGACACTCTCTGACCCACTCCAGAGATGGGCTTTGTTTACATATCCGTCCTCTCAATTCTCCATTCTCATCAGCTCTCCTGCCCACTATTCTTCCCTCTGACACCCATCTGCTCGTCTCCCTCCCCATTTTCCGCTCTTCCTCTCTTCCTCTCTATATCTCCTTCTTCATCTCTTCCTCTTCATCTCTCTCTTGCCACTTATCCCTCTGACCCCTGTTCCACAATTCAAAGTGATTTTTCTCCATTTACTGATATCAGCTCAGCTCGATACGACCGGGTTGTTATTTCCGTTAGACTTTGCCAGTCCAATCTCCGCTCAATCTGAGTCCAGTTCTTTTATATCCCCTTTTCCGATTCCACTATCTCAGGAGGTGAGACCTTCTATTCTAAACACCTTGAACTCTGAGATCTAATGGACCTTTCCATCAGTCTACTCGAGGTCGGGTTGGCTTTGTTCCTTCTCCTGCCACTAGTAGTTCTAGCGAATTGTGAATTCGATAGCTTAGGGTCGTTTTGTGGCAATTTAGTCGATTTAAAGGTTAATTTTTGCAAAGCTTCTCTGATCACCAGCGGACAAAAGTAGCGTCTTGGGTATGCTTTAGCTTGTTGTCAACAAGCAGAGATCCCTGCATAGCAGCCGATAAACCCCGCATTCTGACGTAGTAAATCAACAGCTGCTGATGTAAGAGGTGACTCGAAACAAATGACATGATTCCTCATTCAATCCTGGTTTAATTCGGCTCACCCTTTTATCTTTCCGTTCACTTTCTCAAAGTAAACAAAAGCCCACTCTGGAAAACCCGCTCAAGTGTATAAACACGCCTCTCTTCCCAAGTCCACTCCCTCTTTCACCACCAGCAAACCATGTCCTCCACACCAACACCTCAAACAATTCCCCTCCCTCAGACCTTCCACCACACGACCTCAACCCACGCCCACACCATCCACTACACCACACTAGGCGACCCCTCCCAACCCCCTCTGATCTTCATTCACGGCACCCCCTGGTCCTCCGCCGTCTGGCACGACTACGCCCTCACCCTCTCCCGCACCTTCCACGTCCACCTCTTCGACAACCCAGGCTTCGGCCACAGTCCGCTCGGCACACCTCGCCCATCCCGCCCACACAACCCTGAAACCACCAAAGCCATCGCCCTAGATGCCGACCTATCCGACCAAACCGCCGTCTTCGCCGCGCTGTACACCCACTGGTCCCAAGCCTGGCCGCCCCGCTACGCAAGACGCGCACATGTGATCGCCCACGACCATGGGGGCCTGATGAGCCTGCGCGCGCATCTGCTGCATGGGATCGATTATGCGAGTCTGTGTTTGATCAATGTCGTGGCGCTGGGGCCGTTCGGACAACCTCTCTTTAAACTGGTGGCCGAGAATGAGACGGTGTTTGAGGCGTTGACCGGCCCGGTGTTTGAGGGGGTTGTGGAGGCGTATATTCGGGATGCGGCGTTTACTGAGTTAAGCAGAGAGAGGATGGAAACGTTGAAGGAACCGTGGGTGCGGAGCGGGGAGGAAGGGAGGAAAGGGTTTGTGAGGCAGATGGTGCAGGCGAATTATCGGAGTACGGAGGAGGTGGAGGAGCGGTATGGTGAGATTGGGGCCAAGATGCCTGTGTTGGTGGTTTGGGGGGTGGAGGATCGGTGGATCCCTGTGGAGACGGCGGGGAGGTTGAGGGAGAGGTTAAATGCCAGGGAGGTGGTGTTGATTGAGGGGGCGGGCCATCTGGTGATGTATGATCAGCCGGGGAGATTGGGGGTTGAGTTGGGGTTGTGGTTGAATTCGGTGCAGGAGTGATGCTCCTTTTCTTTGAGCTTCTGGAGCCGGACTGAGTGGATTGATCATTGTCTTAAAGATTGCATATACGCTGTTTCATTCCATTGTTCATGCTAGGTGCTATCATCTCGACGAACGCCGAAGGTTATCTCAAATACATCCAAAAGGTATGCTGCTGAAGTTGATGGGAATTTCCGCAGTAAGAAACATCAGGAGACATCGCCATCCCCGCGAACAGATCCACCGTGGCGACGAATGACAGCGCTTTTACCGGATGGTCCACGAGCCTGTCGAGTGGAGTAAACCAACGAGCCTCGCGTGGAAAACTAGAGGCTGCGGCTTGGCAAAGATACTGCGGGTGATCCAGAGAATATCCAGGCTGGGCAGTCGGCTAGGCGCCGTGGAGGTCCAGCGCGCCGGCAAAGCCATTGCATCGGCTGAGGACCGCGTGCAGGCGCAGCGCCTTCAGGATCGTGCTGGCAGTGCCGAAGCCTGGCGGGCGCCTTCCTGATCGGACAGAGATTATTTGTGCCGGAATTTCCGGTACAAGACGGAAAATGCCCGCAAGGTGTTGTAGACAACGATAGTCAAAGGGCACAGAGAGTGGGATATGTTGCACCAAGTGACTACAGAAGGAGTACAACTGCCTCTGCAACCGCGGTCACGGCATTGTGCACCGCCAAAAACAGCCGAGCGATGCTGCCGTTCGATCCGAGAGCTTGGCCTGTGCAGCCCCACTCCGTTCCTTGTTCAGCCCTGTAGGGCTGACCGTCCGTTCCCTGCGCAGGTTTTTAGCTAAGCCAACATTCAATGGCATGAAATCTATTGGCCAAATTCATCTGAACTCCGTGCTCTAGCTACCATCTGGGTCCAGTATGGCAGACCTCGGTTGGTATCGGGCAGCCTCAATGTGTCTTTCGTTCCGCTCATGCACACGGCGTTACAAATGCACGAGAATCCTCAATAGCATGCTGACAATCAATCTGATCTAATTGAAATCCTCCCTATGGATGAGGATCTCCGATAGGCTTAGATAAGGCCGGTGGTTGCGACACGGAGAAGTCACATTGCCACTCGTTCTCTGGTGGAGAAAGACTTGGGGGGTACCCACCCCGGAAAACTCCAAAACCTATGCGGTGCGCTGGCGCAGGGGACCTTGGTATTCTTTGAAATATGTTATAAACCAAGAAAGGATTCTCGCAAGATGGCAGTCACACCCAGGAAGCCATCTGAGCCCCGATCAAACAAAATCGTGCCATGGAAACACCATCCACACCATCACCATGCGATGCTTTGCTCCCCAAATCATCTGCGCCATGATCGGCTTCGGACTACTGGGATCCGCCAAAGGGCTGGATGAAGGTCTGATTGCGACCACCGTGGACCTGCCGTCCTTTATCCAGGAGTTCAAGCTCCATGCCAGCACCCTGAGTGCAGCCGAGCAAGCTAACCGGCTGTCGAACATCACGTCCATGGTGAACCTGGGATGTTTACCCGCAGCAGTGCTAGCCTTTCTGCTGAGTGATAGCATAAGTCCGTTGTGGATGATGCGGCAGTTATGCGTACTGTGGATCATCGGTGTGGCGCTAGTGATTTCGTCAGCGGGGAACTATGGCCAGCTCCTCGTGGGTCGCTTCATCGTGGGGCTGGGGATTGGCCAGGCTGGCATTATTGGGCCCATTTATCTTGCTGAGATTGCGCCGGCCTCGTGGCGGGGTATGCTGGTGGGCATGTATGCTGCTTCCGAGTATGTGGGTGTTTTGATAGGGGTGAGTTGCGGAGGCTTGTCGGTGCTGGTCAGCTAGTTGCTAACAGACGGCCTATAGTATTTTGCTGGCTACGGTGCATCATTGCATATCGCCAACGATAACAATCAGCAATGGATCATCCCGCAGTCGAGTCAGATAATGATGGCCGGCTTCATTCTCGTTGTGTCCATCGGCTGTGTCGAAAGCCCCCGCTATCTATGCCAGAAGCAGCGCACCGACCGCGCCACACGAGCCCTAAGTCGACTGCGAACCCTCCCCGAGGACAGCCCCGAGATCCAGGACGAGATTGAATCCATCTTGCAGCAAACAGCACACAATGCGACCAAAAAGCTCGGACGGTCCCTGCTGACCTCGTGGAAGCTTTTGTTCAGCCAGTCAGCCAACCGCAAACGCCTTCTGTTCCTGCTCTCAGCCCAGCTCCTGAGTCAATGGTCCGGCACCAACGCAATCACAAGTCTGAACCCCCTCTCCCTTCCCCACCCATCAACCACCCCAGCAAACTAACACCTCACCACAGCTTACGCCCCCAAATTCTTCTCCATCCTCGGCATGACCGGCTCCTCCGAGAAACTCTTCAAGACCGCCATCTTCGGCGCCGTCAAACTGGCCTCCGCCCTCCTCTGCGCGTTGCTGTTCCTCGACCGCCTCGGCCGCAAACGCTGCCTCATGCTGGGGATCACCCTGCAGGTGCTCGCTCTGCTGTACGTGGCCATCTACCTCACCGCGTTACCCTCTGGATCGGACGGTAGCGCATCCGCCCATCACGCGGCCATCGCCGCCATCGCCGCCATCTACATCACAGGCGTCGGGTACGCCTTTGGCTGGAACTCGATTCAGTACCTGATCACGGCGGAGATGCTGCCCACGGCGGTGCGTACGCTGGGGACGAGTCTGCTGATGTGTGTGCATTATGCGAATCGGTTTGCACTTACCAAGGTATGCTTGCGCCCTTTGCTGTTTGTGATTTTGTAATTGATATATCCTCTCCCATATTCTGGTACGCAAGGATAAATTGCAGAGAGGGCTTGGCTGACTGAAGCAAAACACCAGGCCGTCCCGACGATGATGCTGGCCGATGCGCTGCAGCCGAAAGGCACCTTCTGGTTCTTCTTTGTGGTAGCGCTGTTGGGTCTCCTGTGGGGGTTGTTCCTCTTGCCGGAGACGAAGGGGCAGAAGTTGGAGGAGACCAGCCGGTTAATCTCTTAGCCCCTTCTTCCTTGGGTCGTCTGAAGCAATGGATGATGTTGTTACTATGTACAGAAGGAGTTCGACTGCACTCAGTACCTACAACTCTCCTAAATCACGCAAGGATGTGTCGTTAAATGATTTCTTGGGAGGTCGAGGCATGCTATTGCAAGAAGATGACACGTTGACACAAGTGTAAATATGACCTGAGAATGGTAGCCGCTTGGATTCTATTTGCCTACGGGCCTGACTACAGCGAGGTAAAGTTTTCGAAGGACGAATGTAAAGAATGATAGTTGAGTCAAAATAACACTGGGACCTTATGAGAGGTCGCCTCACTTGACCCACTACGGTATTCCTTACAAACGGCCCGTGCTTAACCCAGACTTCTATTGAAGTCTCAACCACCCGTGACTGCTTTCCAGGAGTTTTAACCACATTGATCGGAATGACGGCAGTTTTAAGCTTTCTAAGGTGATCACTCCTTATTATGAAACCTAGTCCGTTGAAAAAAGCCAAACACCCCAATCACATTACTACCGGCCGCTGAATTAGTTAAAGAAGAGTGCTCTTCTTGTTATAATCCTAAGCAGTTCTACTCTGCCCGCCTCTACAAAGTTCTTATCAAGAGTTTCCAGCTTACTGCAAAGCTCGGCTGGGGTTCGAGCTCAACTGTCGGGTTGGCTTGAGATCTAGAGCAGTATGTCTGAATTAATTTTCCAAGGCTCTTAAATAATGTAATAGATGGTGCTGGCGCCCGACACATTATGTTGCGGTCAAAATCAAGGCAAACAACTACACTACTACAAAGAATACCAAAAGGAATTTACATCTTACCAAATATATCTATCAATCGCACAGATATAAGGTATATCAGCCGTGACTTTGTCAGCACATCGCGACAGCAGCGCATGGGCTCTTCGGCAGGGACTACCCGGACTTGCCCTTTCCCGCGTTGGATACTCCGGTCAACAGCACGGGGCAATCTATCCTGATCTGGGGCGGTACCTCGGGTGTCGGGAGCAATGCAATCCAGCTATGCAAGGCCGCTGGCTTGGAGGTTTTCGCGACGTGCTCGGGCCGGAATCTCGGGTATGTGAGGGGCGTATTGGGGGCGGATCATGTTTATGACTACATGAAGCGGAGGTGGTGAGTACGGTGGTCGAGGAGTTGGACAGGTATGGCGCATGTGTTGGGGTGTTTCTGGCAGCAGGGGATGGCGCCCTCCTGCTAGGTGGCGCATCGGTCGAGGCAATCCCTTCGTGTGGTCGCCCCGAACCCGGTGCCTGGTGGGGTGGTTTCGGACGGTTGAATCGAGTCAAGAAGGGCGTTTCGGCGGGAAAGGTAGTGGTTCTGGCTGAATAGGCTGGCTTGGGCTATGGGTTTCGAGAACAATGGTCTCTCTTGTACAAAAGACTAATCGAACTCTATATATACCCTTCGAACGGAATCCATTGGTATATTTGTTTGAGTGATAGTGTGCGTATACTGTGCCCAACGAGCTTTCTGAGTTGTGGATCGAGTGCGGAGAGCTTATCCGGACCGACCTCAGATGCTTTGCCTCAATGACGTTGTGGGGATGAGAGCCAAGTTAAGTATGTACGTGTAACTTGTGGGCGCTAAATATTATACTTTCCCGGGCTGAAAGCTGTAAATCTGTGATGTTGATGTGCCTTTTGAGGTTAGCTCAAATAAGAACAGTACTTAGGCAATAGTCTAGCACATACAACCGTAGGGTGTGGAAAATAGGGCTTCCCGTCCGCTCAGCTGTAATCAAGCTACCTATTGAACGCCGCTGACCGGGATATGAGCCTTGTCTGAATTACTAATATTTGGGTAAGCAATGCTAAGACGAAGAGTGAGTGCGGATGAATTAAGTGTGCTGTTAACAGTGTAGGTGAGCGGGGTGAGCTAGTTGAGTGAAGGGGTGAGCGGGTACCCAAGCAAGCTGCCAGGCAACTAAGTAGGACAATTTCAGAGTCAAGTAGAGCTCTTGTAATAGTTTGAAACGGCCTATATGTATAAGAACTAGCTGGTAAATAATAACAAAACTACTTGATATAAGTTTAATATGTTGGAATGTATGACAAAAATACGATAAATATATAGAAAATATGTATAAATACCTAACTGAAGACTATGTAATTAAGGTAGGCCTATACTCTGTGAGAAATTAGAGTATAGAGAAACCCCTTCAAAACCATTTAAATTATTAATAAGATAAACTAGATAGCTACACAAAATGTAGTACATTTATGAATTTTCTCCATGTGTCATGTAACCCAATGACCTCAGGCTGCCCCACACACCAATATAGAATCCATAATGTGATTTGTTACCTTACGAGGCCGGTGCTTGTGATCTTGGATTGTGATTATTATGCAACATTTAACAGGAACAATTCAGTAAATACACGTTATAATACAGTATATTACTCTTGAACTCAAAAAGAATGCCACGTTTCTACTTTAACACAGCTATTATACATGCTGACGGCGCCGTGGTATATGTTCGCTCGATAAGCCAATATTATAGACCAATGTACTTACACCTGAGTAATACTTAAATATCTTATTTGCAAGTGATTCTCTAGTCAACCATCGTGTGACCTTTTATAATCCACCCATAAATACTGAGCACCGACTTTGCAATCTAACTCTTATTCTCATAAGTTCACCTCATCCAAGCCTCTCCCTCCTCCAGGTGATGAAACTTTTATCATTAGAAGATGAAACAACACTTATCTTTACGTGATAAATTGCAAAGCCATAAGCCAAAATTTCTCCGTCGCCTATATGAGCCTCTGTCAGTCTTAAGTGCCCTTCACGAACAAATCCCAGAGAGAAGAATTCATCTTACTGTCGAAAGCCGGGGGTTGAATAGCTCCGAGCAACGCCAAGACTTCTTAAATGCTTTGGTTCAGTTGAGCGCTTTTAGAAAAGATTGCGACCTAGCTCTCACTATGGGTAAGAGCGACGAAGGCATTCTTCTAGTCATCGGTGGAAGCGCAGCCATCGATAACGACATCGTTCCCTTTGTGGAAGGACTGATTGACAGGGTGAAGCATGCGCATAATAGTACCGATATTCAGGGAAGACGAGGCTCGGGTTTGGAAGAATATGTGATGGACCACTATAAGGTCAAGGCTTTTGCACTCTACCATGAGCTGTTCAACCGAATTGCACCAGTTTGCTTGCCCATCATGGAGAATCAGTCAGAAAGCTTAGAAAGTGAGCACTATAGTAACCATGGCAAGAGGGAATCCGCTAATGCAACAACAATACAGCTGAAGCCAAACGAGAACCAGGCTTTTCAATCTGGTTCAAGAGATCATTCACAAAAAATGGCATGCCGCTGCTTGAGCAAGACATGCTGTCCCTTACTAAGCAATCCTGGGCTGCATACAAGGAGAAAAGATTCGAGATATTTGGCAATTTTGTTTCTCAAGATCAACAGCATGCAGAAGAGTTTGAAGAGTTCTACCGTCTGCTTCGGAAAATTCAACTGCCTATCGAGATGAGTCATCTCTTGATTGACTCTGCAATTTCCCTGAGACAGGAGCTTGAAGAAGACATTCGCATCCAGAGCATGTGTTGCCCCAAAGACATGCCTATTCCTCTCCTGAAGCGGAAGCTAAGCCTTGAGAGCATCACAAATCGAATGTTTTCCGACCCTGATCAACAGAAATCCTTGCTTCGAGGGCTTGAGCTTCTTGTGCCATCGAAAAACAGACTAGTCCAGCGACTTGCGGAATACCAGAGAACAGTACTGACCAAGGTTCACCCTGAAACCCTTGTCCTGGATCATGTTGACAAATTGGGCTTAAGGTGTCTTGATGGTCGAAATCACTATATCGCTATGAGCAGGCCAAGCTGCTATCTGTGCAAGCACTATATGGCATTCCGATACAATTACAACGTTCAGAATTTCGATCTTAACGATATCGAACTTCAATGGCGTGTTCCCGATGTCTTGGGAGCTGATAGCAGTGAAGTCCTTAAAAGCCAAGAACATGCCATTCAGAGACTAATTGATCACGTCCGCGGAGAGGTGGAGAGCTTTGTTTTGAGGCGATGCTTAGCTAGTGATGAACTATCTATCAAGGAGGACTTTTTCGAATTGACTATCTCGTCTGATGGCATTCCTGATGTTCAGTCAGATACGGGAATGTCGTTTCCAGATGTTCAGGACTCCTTGGTTCATGACTTCGATCCTCAATCTTCACATGTGGCACCCCAACCGAATCAGTATCTATCTACATATCGCGAAGATGTCCAAGACAGAAATCGGTATGATCTTGAAGATGAAGACTATGAAGGAGGGGTGGAGGTTAATTGGAGTTCAATTTGACTTATTTCCTGTGACACTGAAGGATTCTTATATTATAAGCACTGGCTATACATCACGAATAACGAATAATAGCAAATATGCGTTATGATCATCTTTTACATGGGCGTCAAAATTTGTCATTGCCTATCACAACGAGGTATGGCCTCTGGAACCAATCCTTGGGTTCAACTTAATCACTGATCTCTTATTTTACAGCATTTTCCTATATGACTCGAAAATGTCTAGATCCAACTATGCTATCTACATACAATAAGCTGCGCAATTAGTGTGCTACATGAACCGAAACTCATTTTATCGCCGCCGTCAATCATTGAAACAATTTCATGACTATATGTAACATGTTGAAGGAACCTCTGGATTACATAAGACAACAAGACAAATTTTTGTCTATTGAGACGCACTGAGATTACTAGAAGTCTGACGGGACCATTGGGAATTTAAGACCTTCTTCTTCCCTTGAAAACTACCGTGCCTTCTTCATCGTTGTGTTCCTCCTCGGGATCAGGATATGGTATTCTGTCTATTTTATAGTCATGTCAGATTAGGTTTGTTCGTATCTTGAAAATCTGATACGTACAGTTCTCTTTTGTTCCATTTCCAGTTTGGAATGGGTATAGCTGAGGGAGGTTTTCTTGTTTCAATGTGTGCGAGTAGATAGTTGAGGTCACCCCGGCGGTCGAATCAGCATGATAAGTCCTTGGCTCTCGTTGATTCGCAATCTCAGTTCTCAATTCAGTGCAGAGCTTCTCCGTCATCATCTTCAAAAACCTTTTCTGGGCGTTGAATCTGATACTAGCTTCATGATCACCCTGATACAACGTCGGGAGACACCATATGTTGTAAATCTTTTGGTGAGAAGAAGGAGGATAGTACCTATTCGGATGCTCAGCAATATAGTAGTAGCAAAGATAGCATGCAGGCTTGCTGCACCCTATGTAGGGGCTGTCTTTGTCAAGGAATTGACATCTTGTCCTGTCAAAATGATCGATCAGTTGTATTTCGGCATGTACTCGGCCTCCTGACTTGCATGCTTTTGTAATGTCTTCAGAAATCCTTTTCACGTCATGAAACTTTTCCAGATGGCTAAAGAAGGCAGCCAAATCATCTTTTTCCCGATAAAGATGACGGGAAATGTTGTTTAAGTCGAATTTGCCTTTCCTAAGACTTCGAATTTTGGTCTGACTTGATTTCGGAACAGCCCTCACCTCAAACCCTTTATCGAAGTCTTTCTGAAGCGAACGCCTCACCTGGATCAGCTTTTTGTGAACAGTAATATGTTTACCAAGTTTAAGAAGCAGCTTATGGAGCCGCTCAAACTTGTTTCCCAATCCGTTCTTGTACCGATGTGTGAGTTGCTTCAGAGTGTCAAACACTTCAGAATATCCAGTGCGTGCCTTGTGACATTCTTGGGCAAAGTTGACCATGTCCTCCTTTGCTAACCTTCCACTGCATCGGTGAAACGTCTTGATAATCCACTCATTCAGCCGACGCACATCCTCGTCTTCTGCGGGGGATGTTATTTTCAGTCGAACTGGAAATTATCTTCACGGCCACTCACCCGCGATTGCTCCCTCAGAAGGAGAAATGTCTTCTTCCCAGGTCTTGAGAAAACTAGTGTAGTATGCAAAGTTCCTTTCGCTATTGAACTTCAAGATGCAAGACAGAAGCCCGGACCCATCTTCCTGAAAGTCCTGTTCCCGGGCAGCCCTATAGGGGCCTTGAGGCCGGTGGGTACGGTCAGAAATACCGCTCAGAATATGAAGGACTTCTTTCAAGAACTCGATTACCCCCGGTTCAACCACTTTATTCGCCGCGACCCAGACAATCACTTCCTCACCATCTTCCGAAAGAGTCAATGCCGCCGCTGTCACGTAATCGGGATTTTTCTTGTAAGCCGCAATATATGCTAGTGCATCCGCCAAATCTCGCCGGAACTTGGCTATGCGATACCCATCTTTTTCCAAAGAGCATTTCTGTTTGATTCTCTCGCCCCGCACCTGGCTCAAGGACTTCAACAGGTAAACTATATCGTAGAAGCGATCAATCTGCGTTTGGTGGTGCTTGAGCTGTGCAGAACTTGCTGCCATTGATCAGAAATATCTTGCCTTGCACAAAGAAAGGAGAAGAATGAATAAATGCTGAATAGCGAAACGAAAAGGTCCCAACGGAGAATGCAAGCCAGAAAAGGGTAATTTCATAACCAGAACGTACCGCAAAAAGAATATGCCTCTTCTCTTTAGGCACCCGTCTTCCGGGGCGCGATCTCTATTTTGCAGGACGACGAGTACGGTCAGCTAAGACCTGTTGGTCATGACTCACTGGCAGTCGCAGATGTATCCTCGATGCCAAAATGTAACAACTTCGTTGCGGGGATGTAAGGCTGTCTTGGCGCGCTTACGAGCATACACGTAGCAAATATGTGTGCAGATGACGCTAGTTACGTGGCAATGAGGCTTCCAGGATGTATAAATGTATGATTTGGTATACTAGTGCTTCCAGCATGGGTGCGTCTCGGAGATAGGCGGTAAAATAGAACATGGATGCTGCGTATTTTCTAGGAATATTATAAGATATTTCAAGCGAACCGCTGAGCACTCTAGTAAGGGATATGACGCATCGTGCAGCAAATGCAAGTCCTTCTACGAAACAATGTTGGGGGAGGGGAATTTTTTGTTGGGGCTTGTCACTGTCATGACCCACATTCTCATTGAGACTTACGTTGTATTTCATCTCCCCTCTCACCGGATGGTACAGCCAGGGCTTGTACATATAGGGATGCACGTCATCTTGTATTCGGACTCTCGGAAATCCTGTGAATGGCTGTGATTTCGTCTATATGAGATCAGCATGGTGTATGCGTAACTTTGTTTCTTTGCGACCTCAGCATTTTCGTTCCCAGAACTCAAGGAATCGGCAACAAATTCTTTCAACAAGATAGTTCTCTTATCTACTACCAATTCACTATGAACTGAGTTTACCGACAGCAACCGCCTTTTTTCAGTGATGTCCATTCCATCCAAAGGTTTAGCTGCAAGCCTTTCACCTGTGGAAACGCCAAGTTCTATTACGGTTCAATCAACCAGCAAACCTATACCTATGTCATTACATTGAGCGGATTAAGATTCTTGGGCGTCATCTCTTTTCCCAAGCATAGATATGGCTATCTTTGAAATTCAATGCTCCGCTTGATTCTTACTTATGCTCGGGGCAGACGTTTAAATATTAGCGAAAGTTAGGGTGACTTCCCAGGGGATGGATCATGGCTAAAGAAGGAATCCCGATGTTGGGGCATATTCTACTCGTGCCCCCTGACGGCGTTGGTTTACCAACCAAACAGAGGCTCTTGGGTAGCTTTCTTCTGGACCCGATCCGGAATTCGCTGTACATTGCCAGTGGCAAGGGTTTCAACCTAGGTGCACCCACTCGATCGTGAGTCATAGAGAGAAGGAGAATGAAGCGAATTCTTGAATAGTTGCCTCAGCTAATTGAATAGCCTTGTCCGTTTAACCTCAGAATTCCGGCCACAAAGGTAATCTTTTCCCAATTGAGATTAGAAGTGAGCTCGTGCATCCCCTAGTCATAAGTCTTGAATATCACACAAGGAACCATATGTCAGTATATGATATTTTTTCTGTTAGTAGAGCCCAGCGATCTGTCTACTAGAGTATCGAGTAGTATGTTCACATCTAGGAGGTACAGTCTAGCCGAAGGGGATGATTGCTCACCTTCAATTCTTCAACTATGCGGTCGGATATGGAGTTTATGACAAGGTAGTTCGAGACCAGTAGGTGAAACTATTTTGACCAAGCGAAACAATTTCTATTCGGATAGTACTTCACATGGCTTTGCCACCAGAGAAACCTACGTTTATCGTATTTCCCCTCCATCCTCGTGATTTCACCGCTGAGTTGACTTTTTTTTCTACAAGGCGGGGGTGCGAGCTTCCGTCACTCTGGCCGAATTGTGGCCAGACAAGATAAAATAACACCTACAGCATATGGTCAATGCATCGTAATGATTCAACAAGTGGAGGGTGACGAATTGTGATATGTGAATAACGTAATGAACCAGCGATGAAGGGCACACAGTAAAATGTTCGATGACTGGTCGCAGGGTTCTCATCTTATTGCTGAACCCGCATGGTGCTGAGGTAACCTGTGTTGGACATAGGTGAGCTGGCTTGTTCTCCTGCAATGCTGCCCGACGAGAAGATCATGAAATCCTCAATATGGCCAAGGGAGTTGACTCATTTTAGTATGAGTTGTGAGTCGCTCAAGAGCAACACATGGCAAAGAGCCGCCCGAGCCCTGTAGCTGGACAAGCTCTTCGCAGCTCTAACCCAAGCGTCAGTGGTACGCCAGCGCAATGTATTACGAACAGCCTTCTATCTAGCCACCTATCGATGCGAACCAGGAGCTATGGCTCACTACATGCGGCCATTCGCTTAGACGGTGGCACAGTCAATGCGCATAGTAGCTGCATGATGTAGACGGCTCTAGCGTTGTAGGCCAGTCAGCGCGGTCTATGCAGCCGCCTCAAATGTGAAAAGTTCATAGCGCGGGATAATCACCAGCCCGCAAGGCTCGACTCGGTCACTCAGCTAGTGTCACCAGATTTCAAGTAAATTACTGCTCAACATGGGAAGAGTTTCCGAAGTCGCACATTTTCTAAGAGGTCTCTTGCAAAAGCAAGTTTGCAATACAACCACCGTTGGGAAGGATTTCGGTCCACTCGAGCTGCTGTCGTACTGCCGAAGTCCACCATGCAGGCCAGGCAGATTGCTACACTGATACAGGTATAGCTGCTACACATGCAATCTTCTCATCCCTTAGCCAATACCAAAAGATCATCAAGTCGGCCGGCGGCTGTTTGACATCCATATAGTCTTGAAGATTGTTGATTCCTCGTCTGAGGGCAGAATGGATATGTCTTCTCTCGTGGGTCTAAATCTATCAAACCATAATCCACTGATGCCGATTAAGCATCTAATAGTAACCATAGTCCGACGCTGAATATTCGATCAAATCAGAGGTCTATGAATCTGAATCCACAATTATGACAGTAATCGACTCGATTCTGAAATTGCACCGAATGGCACTCATGCTCAGCAAGAACTTTCAGAATCTCATTCATAAAATCATTGGATTTGTCCGTTGGTTGACCAGGCTAATTTTCCTCTTTCTGATGAATCAGCTTCTTCCAATTCATAAGGCTTGTCGAGCAGCAGGGATACATCGCATCACTGTCAACCAACAGTACTCTTCTTTGCAGTAGCAGAAGACGGTGGAGAGCATGGACCATGTGTCTTCTGGGGTCCATTCGATACCAAATCAAACTTCAAGTGAATGGAAGTACACTTTCTCTCCTTTGAGAGACCACAAGCACATGGCTTCTAACCCGAATTTACGGAAACGTGTCTGTCAAGTTTGCCTACCAAATTCAAGGTGGTTATCAAGTGCTGCGGGGTAGAATGCTCAGGACAAGACAGGAACAAGAGGCTGGCACGGCACCTTGCGGAGAAACTCGTTTGCATTATTTTAGGCCTTGAATAATCTTGATTCCGATGAGAAATGTGATGGTGGAGGGTTGTGTCAAAAGTCGGTTAGGGGAATGTACGACGAGCAATATCCTTCACAAAATCTTGGCAATGCTAAATTTCCGACGTTCCTTAAACATTCGTTCTTTAGTAAATATATCATTTTAATTTGATACCGCGATATATCAAGACTACGCTGAGGTGGCGCTGTGAGTGCGGTCCGATCAGTAGTGGCTTTCAATCTCAAGACCCAAGGCCAATGAAACCTCCGACCTAAAGCAAGCGCTCATATAACCACTATATCAGCTTCATGATGTTGATAGACTTGGGAATTTTTCTAGAAGATCGAACCCGCACTGACCAAGTGAATAGCTTTCTCAGCAGCAAGCGTTGTGATTGCGTCGCGATTCATTTGCCCCTCTACAATCATGACTTCCGACCCGTCCACCAATAGCCGACATCTTAAAGCCATGGGTATCTCTTCATTCCGGTGGATGTCGTATGAGATCTTGTGTCCTGAGAGAAGAACTTGCAGTGCATCCTTAGGATGATCTGTCTCAATTTGACGTGAAGTGAGGTGCCGTAGAAGAGGCAAGATATTCAGCCTTTCTGCGAATCCCATACACGCCTCTTCGGTGGCTTTAGAGTCAATGTAAATGGCTCCGAAGATACTCTGGATTATGCTGGATAATGCTTCAATATTACCCAGGTCGGACAATCGTGCCCAGGGGTATGGTCCCAGCCCCCACAGATCCTGGCTGATAAGGTCCACCTTTTTCGAAGACCTATGCACTAAAGTAGATATTTGCTCCGAAAGTGCGTTGCTATTTGACCGTAAGAAATGCCAGAGGTGAATTGAGTATGTCCTCGTGATTGTGCGGGCATTGTGGTTATCGTCGACTTGAATATCACTTTTTATCCCCTCTGTATAAAACATGAGGCAAATGAAAGTCAGAAAGGTGTTGTTCAGGAGTGCCGCTCGAACGGACTGTAGCCTCTTGGTATTTGATGCCACATTTGTATGTATCAAACTGCTGACAATTATCCAGTCTAGAACACTAGCCCCGAGGAATGAGAGGCGTCCATACGATGAAGTCGCTGATATCCCAATGTATGAGGGATGTGTCATGGCCTCAACAGCAAGGCTTTTATCCGTAAATCTGTATTCAAGCAGTTGCTCCAAACCGTCCATGGCTGTCGCGGTTGAACATGATCTCCTCGAATTCAAATAGACTCCGTCATACAATGAGGACACATTCCAGGTTTTTATCCTCGGGACTATGACTGCTAAGTATGTAGCAGCTTGCTCCAATCCATTAGCCAGAAAGGCGGAGCCAGCAAGGGCTTTGGCCAAAGCTGCCAATAAGGCTATCCCAACCTGTCTCGGCGGCGAAGGTTCAGCATCAGCCAGGGACATTGATAACATCCGAAGAACCCATTTCCTTCCATTGAAACACGTCGTTACAAGAAATTTGTCGAGACCAGTTCGAGAGACAGTACGTGCAAGCTGTTGATCAGACACAATTGAATGTTTTGATTGAGACAGAAGTCCTTCGTGCCATAATGTTTGATGCAGGAACAATTGTCTTGAGATTAGGAAGTTCATGATCATGTCACCAATGAAGACCAGACGGCGAAAAGTGGACCTATCTTCAATATTCAATGGATCTATGGCAGTTTTTAACAGCTGAATACCCTGCTGGGTCATCTCGAACTTGGAGTATATATGTCTCTGGAGGGTTCGGGCGCTCCAGTGCATTCCGATCTCATGAAATATGCTTGGAACCAGGAGGGCGACTTCGGCGAAACGAGACGGAAGCTTGTCAACGGAAAGCTCCTCAATAAACAAATTCTGCATTTCAGGAGTTCGTCTAATTTCAGTTGCAGGGATGGTTGAAGCCCTATGAGTGGCGGAGGGGCTTTGGAGAAAGTTACGGCGCCGTGTCAAGGGTTTGATCTTGGCTTTCACCTCTGTGGATGCTTCTGAACTATCGGATGATTTGAAGGTGTGTTGGTCCCAGGACTCGAGTTTTTGAGGGCGAGAGTGCCTCTCAGATTTTCGTAACAATCCCCAAATGTTAGGATGGTGATTCTTAGACAGTTGTTGTGCCAGGCTGGTTGTCCCCGAATAGCTCTCAAGAAACTCCACCAACAGGCTCTCTCGTTCTTCTGGCACAAGACCAAACGGGAAATTCATGCAATCACCACTAGCACGATTGCGGTGTACTGACTGCATAATCAGTTCTGTGACTTTTTGACATAGTGAAATGTCGATAGAAACCGGATGGCCTGAAGACACCAGTGCGGTAAAAGATGTTTCCGAATCTTCAAAGAGAGGGATGCTAATTGTTTCAGTGATGCAACTCGAGAGAATAATGAATACTCGGCTTTCAATCCCTTCAGACCGCTTGATTCGTAGTTCATGGGAGTATAATGTTTGATTAGAGCTCCACAAGCGTCCAAGTTCATGCCAAGGATTCAGCTGTCCTTGAATAGTGTAATGAGACTGAGCTAATACACCCATGTCGAGAATCTCATGGCTGGTCGTTGGTACAAGATGATCATTCACCAGCCCAGCATCGAACAGGGCCTTGTAGGCTTGCAGTGCCGCATCCTCTTTTGCATGCTTTCTCTTCAACCAAGTACACGAGCTGGTGAACTGGTGAAGGGAAGGATCCATGCTATTGGGCAACATGACAAAACCTCGAATCTGACCCGAGCTGAGGGTCTCAAATCTAAATATAGGTTTATTGCTTACGTGTGGCTGGGCTGGTAGGTTCGAGCAAAAGTGGAACAAATGCCTGATTGCTTCCGGCATGGTCAATTTAGCACTAAACAGTCAGTAATACGGTTATAATTGTACCCAGGTTGACATACCCGGTTGTTTCAATGTAAAAGTGTAAAGCATCCCGGGCGAGGTTCTCAGTATCCATGACGTGTGCTGAAATCAACCGTTCTTCCTGGAGTGTTTGTGCTAGCTCATTTTCTTGCTGTTCAAGTTGCTTCAAAGTCTGTACAAGAGCCTCATCTTCTGCAATAACAATGAACTTAGCGTGCTTCTTGCGCGCACGCCCTCGACGTTGAATGTAAGATTTCAGGCTCAGATGACAGTTGAAGTTAAACACAGTATTGCAATCCGGTATATCAATCCCCTCTTCCAAGGCGTCTGTGGTTATAATAAGGTTTAGCGACCCTTCATGGAATCTGTGCAGTGTCTCACTTTGAGAATTTATCTCGTGTAGGTTCCCAAGTTCTGTCTTACTCGGCTGCGCTGTCGACATGCCAATAAACGTTCCGCAGCGGAATAAATCACGGACAAGAGGATGAGTCTCTATTAGCCATTTCATAGCTAAGACAGTTGCTCGCTGAGTCACGAAGATTAGACCCCGGAATTCCTTGCTGTACTCCTCTTGAAGTGCGGTTAGCAAGCACATGCAGTTCGGTGAAACATCCTCTGGTCGTATCTCGGAGCTGAAAGCTTCCAGATTCCCTAATTGACAAAAAATTTCCATTGCATATTCTTTCCCAGGATGATAACGAGTGCTTTTCTCCGCGTGCATTCGCATGCGACTCTTGAAATATGAGATTGATTGGAGCATGTAATTTGTCGCAGGCCAACTTCCAAGCTCGTGGTTGAGTGCCTCCGCGCACTTTAGAAACCGTGTGATCTCATTCAGTCTTTTGGCATCTATCTTCTCCTGATAATCGATACCCTCATGCGCCTTTAGCAGCTGAGACAAACTTATAAGTACTATAGATTTGTTATGACGATTAACTGGACTGGGCGGCGGCTGACGCGGCAAAACCATTGGCTTGTTTGCAAATTGCAATAGCTGCCCGTAATGACGGCGAGGCGTTCTGCATATACTATCTAGATTTTTTTCAACGACCCTGTAGATTCTTAGAGCTGGCCGATCGGAGTGGTTGAGGATTCTCACATACTCAAGACAAGATAATTCTGATAGAATTGGAGAAGCAGTTAAGCCTAGTATGTACGGCCCACATGACACACTTTTATTGACTCGCTTGTGATAGAACTCACGCATGATTCTGTTAGCAGCATTGGATTTGACACAGTGATGCGCTGGGGACATGTCATTAGATATGCTGGCATGATTAGGGAAAGTCCAGCATAGTGCTCACCTTCATCAAATATAAGCAAGGACAACTGATGGATATTAAGATAAGCATGCTGTAAAGCATCGTACAAGACTTGGTAAGTTGATATTGCTACTCGTACTCCTGATAAGGCATCTTCCCATATTTCTTTTGACTTCCAGTGATCGACTTTATCACCACCTGTGAAGGATCTGCACCACGTGGGCGGGAGACGGGTTCTCATCGTTTGGACATGCTGTTCACAGAGGGCCACAGTTGGACAGAGTATCCAGCAGAACTACAGAGTGTGAATAGCGATATTTGAAGGCAGGAGAACCTTACCTTCTCTCGATCTCCTTTATCGATTTCTGCAAGGATGCGTAAGATAGCTCTGTTCTTTCTATTACCAAGTGTTTCGATTTATCTTTTGGCACACGGATGCTAACATTTGCGTCTTCCCCGTACCGGTTGGAGTCTTCCCAGTAGTGGGATATTAGCATCATGTGCATCTGTTCGAGTATGGTTCACTAACCACGACGATGATATTTTGTCTTAGAGACTCATGCAACATCTCCAACTGGTACTCTCTGGCAAGAAGGTTTCTCACATCTTCGGCCTCTAGAGTACTATCCATATGCAAGCCTGTTGAAGAGGCCATATTTGAAACTTGCCGGTCCTTGTAGCAGTTTTCTGGTATTATCAATAGTCTTGAACAGTGGGAATGTAGTTACGGATAATCTTGTCATACCAGCGCAGAACCTGGCTAAGGAGCAGGGACATTTTAATACTTTAACTAATATTGAAGTTACCCTTGTACTTTTCTGCCCAACACACCCTGTACAGTGCATACCGGCCAATAGCGTTCGAACATGTTTGTTTTCGTGCTTAGGCCTCATTACATCTAGTTTGTCTACATGATTTATAAGTTCGGCCCTGCGGGGTAGCTAACGGCGTGTTATTGAGTAAGACAGAATCCCACCCCCTTGCAAGACCTGACGTTGACATTTAACTGTGCAAAATTCCTGTGCTTGATCCAACAGCCTTTCACAATCCCCTCTAATAAAATTAAGCCCATCTATTAGATCCATGTAAAGTGGCGGCTTACAGCAGATACCTCGTCACCACGCTGGCCCGCGGACCCAAACAATGTTGTCGAGCCTTGCCTCGGGCTGCCTGCTTACTGCCCACGTTAGTAGCCTTAGGTACTTCCTCCAGACGGCCTTACGTAGCTAGATTTATGCATCATTCATCCCTCTGAGTTCTCATGTCCTCCATCAAATGCTAATACTAATTTGTTCCATTCATCTTCTTCTACATTGTATCATTCATCTCTTTGTGATATCAGGCTTGCATTCCTCCTTCTCTCTCCCCCCCCACGCTTGGGATCTCTTTATTCAGCCTATCTACCGTTGGAGACCTAATTTCTGCCGAACATATAAGTACCGGAGATAGATCAGTACTGTGGATACTATAAATGTTTCTGATCGCATATAATAATCACTGACCGTGTCTAATAGTTGATAACAATACTGGAGTCAAGTTTTTTGTTAGAAATCCATATCTTTCGGAAGCTCGCTGACCAGAAGAAATGATTATCTTGCGGTCTCTCTATTCAGTAGCTTAAGTTATCAGTCATGATAACTAGCTTAAAGTCTATACTAGAAAACAAAAATGATTGGATTATTGGGATGGCAGGTTATTGCTGATCACAATGTACAGTTTGTTTTTAGGTAATACAGATAAATGAATGCTAATATGTTTCAATATTGTTCCCTCTTATCCATGAATTACGATGTGGTTATCGAAATATAAGTGACTAATGAGCTATGTGGCTTAGCCAGACATAAAGACCAGAAGAGTAGTGTATTTACCCCTCTTTCTTGCTTTCACTCCGCCTCCTTGGTTTGAAAGTACTCAATATATGCTAGGCCTCTACCTTATTTGATCCCTGCCATCAAGCACACTCACCCCAACTCACCCCCGGTCGCGTGACTATAAGCGGCTTCACCTTTAGCTTACCCGCACGGCAACCACCCGCTTTTTGGTCGCGTTCAAGCCACACGCCGGGAGGTTAGTAGTTGGGTGGGTGACCACCAGCAAATCCCTTCTGTTGTATATTTTTGTCTTCTTCTTTTGGCTGGTCAGATATAGCCACGTCAGCTTAGCGAACTATCCCATCGCGATGTCTCAATTTCAACCTAGACTGTATAGAGTGGTGGGTGGTGAAGATGATGGGACCTCCGAGGTCGGGTCTATCCGATGTCGGATCGGATCGCGGCTATGGCTTAGACTTATGCTCATCCGAGAGGTAAGGACTTGGCACTTATCAGTTCCTCTTGTTGCATCTTACTGTATGCCGAGGTGAGTTTTTGACTACCCACGAGTTAGTATAAAATCGACGGCGGTTACCATGATATCTGATCAGCATCTGCAGAAGAGAGTTCACGCGCATTATTGCATCCCGAGTCCCCTTCACATTATCTGAACTGAGCATCCTTGCTACAATTCGCTATTCGAGAAACACACAGAATCATGCAGACGAATGAGTTACAAGAAGTGGCGTTGGCCCTGCGCACCGCGCGCGACAATCGAGCCCCGATCACACCACCCACCAAGACCTGGCCGGCTCTGGACGCGGACTCGGCCTTCGAGGTGCAACGGCTAAACGTCAAGCACGCCGTCAGCAACGGCGATCGCTTGGTAGGCTACAAGCTCGGAAACATTGCGAAAGTCATGCAGGACGCATTTGGCCTCGATCAACCTGACTATGGCTTCCTCCTGGCCAGCACCTTCCTCTATGAGAGTACAACCCTCCGTCTCGACCAATACATCAAGCCCTACGTGGAGCTAGAACCTGCCTTTGTACTGCGCAGCTCGCTCCGCGGTCCCAACGTGACGGTAGCCGACGTGATCAACGCTATCGACTACGCTATTCCTGCCATCGAGATCATCGACTCCCGGGTGGAGAATTGGGCGATCGATCTGCCCGACACTCTCGCTGACAACGGCTCGACTGCCAATGTCATTCTAGGCGGCACCCCCCGAAAGCTTACAGACCTAAAGAGTCTGCGGGATGTGCGGGGTACGCTCCAGTTCAATGGTCGGGAGGTGATGGATGGGAACACGGGGAATGTGCTGGGTAATCCCCTGTCGGCAGTGGCCTGGTTGGTGAATCGACTGTCTGCATACGATATTGAATTTCAAGCCGGGCAGGTGATTCTACCTGGCAGTTGTCTCCAGGCTGTTCCCATGGATAAGCCCGGGAAGTGGAAGTGTACCTTTGAGGAATGGGGCACCATCGAGTTTGATGTCGCGTGAGGGTATTTTGTTGTTCTGTCGTGTTGTAGTCGGGGCGGGGCAGGATAGATACTTAGAATTCAATATCTTCTGGATTTGTTCATTAAGAACCCTCCATTCACATAGTCACTTGAAGTACGTGGTACCTTGGTACTGTACACTTGGTACAGCCAATACATAGCGTTAGCCGGGGTCACGGGTTCTCACCAGACTTTCTCGATCGGGATGATAAGGAGAAGATCTCTCGTATCGAGATCCACACTAACAACAAGCACTAGCCCTACTTTAGCACTTATCGACCCTACGCAGTAGTTAGTTATCTGCGGGGATGGAATCAATAAGCAGCCACCCGTCATCCCCCGCAATTCCCAACTTCGCCTTCGGCTTTGCCAACTGTTCTCTTTATCTCCATCGATCATGCCATTTTCTAAGCCGAGACTGCGAGCTCCTACACATTATAATCAATAGTTGTACGGCAATACATTGCAATGACCACCGAGGGTAGGACTGAGCGCCGCAAATTCCGAAGGACTGCCAATGCGTAAGGGCCTCCCCCCCTCCCCCCACACGCTCCCGCCGGCTTCCTCCGACTAACATCCGAGACAGGTGCATCCCATGTCGGCAGAGCAAAATCAAATGCTCTGGAATTCAGCCATGTGGAAATTGCCAACGACGCATGGTGAACTGTCGATTTGTGGATATTGGTCATAGGATAATCATCCACCAACCCAGCCATACCACTCCCTTTGAGATAAACAGTCCTGCGTTAGGTGAGGAATCTCCCAGCCTTGCGACAGGCTCAGAATACTGACCCTATGTGCAGGAGCCAAGCGACCCGCAAGTCTTGCTTTTGTTCCAGATGGTCATGAAAATTGCCCTGATGAGCTGCTCACACCTCCTTCTCTTGTTGCTCAGCATTTCGATTCAGCACCATACACAGGAGCGCAACGACCTGCCGAGTCGTCCAATCCAACGGTCGACGGCGCGCGCAGCATCTGGACGAGTCCGTTCACACTCCCCTCAAGAACCATCAAGAATACCCAGAGAAACAAACGAAACTGGGGTGAGTTACCATGCTCTCGGCCTGTCGGTGTCAGCTAACCAAGAACGGTGCAGTCTGGCTGGCACCCTCATCAACCTGGTCCTTTACTGCCAGACTCACCCTCCTTCTAGCGGAGAAACTCGAATTAGACTCTCCCTACAGTGCCCCAAATTTCTCAGGTGAAGATATCTATGTTCTCCGGTGGAAGTCATGCCCGCCCGACGATCCCCCCGACATCAGCGGGCTGCCATCAATCGATCACGCTCTCTATCTGTTCAACACCGTAAAATTCCACCTCGGTCAGAGCTATCGCTTTCTAGACGAGGCCACATTCGTCGAGCATCTCCAGGACTTCTATCACGGGAACGCAGTCGAAAAAGCGGCCGAGTCGCGTCTGTGGTTTGTACAATTCCTCCTCGTCTTGTCCTTTGGAAACGCCTTCCTCTCCTCTCGCTGCAAATGCACCACCGAGCCGCCGGGGTCAAAGTTCTTCATCCGCGCGATGGCCTTGATGCCAGACCACGCCTCCGTCTGGAAGGACAGTCTCATGGCCATTGAAGTGCTGGCTCTAGCGGGTCTGTATCTCTACTCGATTGATCACAGGGAGTCGGCCCATGTCTACGTAAGACCCTCCCTACCCCTGTCTCGGGACCTTCGTTGAACAACAATACAGCTCGGGCAAGCCATCCGCATCGCGCAGCTCGAAGGCCTACACACACAACTTCCCGAGGAGGAGATCGGACTCCAGACGGTCGAGCGGTGCCGCAACCTGTGGTGGACCCTGTACATCATGGACCGACACTTCTCCTGCTCGCTGGGGATCCCCATGTTGACGCGCGATAGCGATATCACCACCGTGCTGGATTCGCCCAGCGCGTGCTCGCAACGTGATGCAACCCTGTGCTTGCAGGTGCGGTTATCGCATCTGCTGTCTTTTATTCTTACCAGTGAGCTTTTGACAATCTTGTCTCTTGGTGCTATAACGATGGCTGATGGTCTGGTCCAGCGATTTACAAAACCCAGAAAACGCAACTCGGGACATTCTTGGATAAGACCAAGTCAATCCTGCAGACGCTCGCGGGTCACGCGCGGGAGATTGAGAAGATTATCTACCGGAAATTTCAGAACTCGATTGATACGATGCCTCGGGGGACGCGGCATATTACGCTTCTCTATCATCAGGTTCGTGCCTCTCCTCCTCCTCCTCCTCCTCCTCCTAAAAAACGCAGAGGAGTCTGGAGTATCCAGCGCAATAGCAATTGCCCGACTAATCCCAGTCAAAAGTGCGTAATGGTCGCCACCCGGCCCCTCCTTCTCTCCGTCCTCAAAGAAAGGCTCGACACCTTGGCCGAAGGCGACGAGGACTGGCAGACAATCCTCGCGCCGACCAAGACCCTGATTGCGACGGGAATCAAATCCGCAGCCAAGACGCTGCAGATCCTGTCGGATGAGGACAGCCCGCTCGGTCGGTTTTGCCTCTCTCACCCAGAAACCCACTTGACATCGATTGTGTCCGGGACTTGAAGAGCGAATCTAATCTCCCAAGCAGAAGTCTTCCTCCCCTACGACCTCGAATTCACCTACAGCGCCGCCATCCATCTCGCCATGGCGCAAGCCCTCTTCCCCCTCGACCCCAACGAGCACGGCACAAGGGGCATCCAGAACGCCCACTCTATTCTATCGGAGATGGCGAGCAAGGGCAACCGACTCGCCGAGAACCGTTCCAGGGAGTTAGTCTACCTGGAGGGGTTGTTCACGGAGCTGGCGAAGCGCATCGAGCGGCGCGGGTTGCTGACGCTCTCGTTGTGGAATACTCCGCAGCAGCAGCAACAACAACACCAACAGGACTGTGTAAGCGGGAACACAGCCGAAGAGGCCCGGGGCAGGGAGACGTTGTCTACGCTGGAAGCGGGGGGGAAGGAGTCGAGCGAGCCCATCGTAATACCAGGGCATGAAGCGGGCGCGCCGGCTGGCGAGGACCCGTTCTGGTCGTCCCCTTCAGCCCCGACGCCGACTACGAGTAATCTAGAATTGTTGGATAATATTGGGATCTCGTCGTACGAGTTCCTGTCGATTGTGGAGCAGATTGGGAGGCAGGAGTATCATAGTATTCTGGATACGGGGGCGGGGATGGGGTGACTTTTGGGTGGAATGGTGTTGGGACTGTGGCGACTATCTAACTGACTTCATTGTTTGTGATACGTGTGGGTCCTTGGAGATAACCTCTTGTAGATGTGAATTGGGCTATCTAACCACGTTTGTTGTGCTTTCCGATAGCGATATGAGTGGGGTTGGGATGAGCAGTCCAGGCAGGCTTATGGCTTATCCGAGAGCTTTCGGCTGTAATAGCGTTGATGATCATCAGACTAATTGGCTGAAGCTGCTCTTCATGTCAAATTAAGCTCTTCCTTACATCCCTCGGATAGCAGGGATCGGATGTGTCGTAGGTGGTGGTGGTGAACCCCTCTTTCCTCGGGTCGGGTGCTCGGGTTCGCGATATCCATCCGAGAGAGGCCCCGATAAGCCCTGCCCCCTACGATTCTCAGATAGTGTAGTGGATTCAACGAGGGTTGTCATCACGAGACATATTTTAGAGGAAACATACGCTGGAACCTTGCAGGGCATCTCTACTAGCACACATGACCATCGCAAGCAGCCGATATGCGAGGAAAGCCGAGGGTTGGAAGTATGCGATCGGGACGGAGGCACGTAGAGGCAAGTTGAATTGCCGCGGACGAAAAGATAGATGTATAGCTGTTCTATAAATCACTTCCATCTTTCAGTTGGAAGATTCTATTCTCAAGAGACTATCAGTAACAGCTTCTCAAGCAACAATCATCACATCCCACACCATGGCTCCAGCTGCACTTATCCCCCCCACGGCGCCGGTCGTGATTGGCCCTGCCACGAAGCAAGCGACTCGTCCCAGCAAAGCGTTACCCCAGAGTCTCATCGATGGAGCCAGACTCAACACCAAAGAGCCCTTTACCCCAGAAAAGCATCTGGCCTTCCGGTCCCCTGCCAAGATATACACCATGAAAGACATCGGTCTCGAAGGCCACGGCATCTCGCCAAACGCAGTCACCGACCCATTCCCCTTGTTCACGGAGGAAGCAATCAAACAGATGCGCGCGGAGATCTTCAGCGAGCCTGTGCTAGAGAAATGTCAATACTCGTCCACATTCAACAAAAACATGGTCCGCGGAATGGGGCCTGCGTGAGTTGCCACCCGTTTGTCGCCATCCCAGCCCCAGCTGACAGCGCACTGCGCATCTATACAGTCTCGCCCCCTTCACCTACGACGCATGGCGCTCGCCAGAGCTGATTGCCAAGATCTCCCAAGTGGCCGGCATCGATCTCGTGCCGTCGATGGACTTTGAAATCGCCAACATCAACATCTCCATCAACGACGAGCACGACCGCCTGACGCCGGACAACGTGCCCGACACCGACCAGTTGTCGGCGGTGGCGTGGCACTACGACAGCTTCCCGTTTGTCTGTGTGACGATGCTGTCCGATTGCACCGGGATGGTGGGCGGGGAGACGGCGCTGCGAACGGCGACGGGCGAGATCATGAAAGTGCGGGGCCCGGCCATGGGCACCGCGGTGGTCATGCAGGGCCGGTACATCGAGCATCAGGCCCTCAAGGCGCTGGGCGGCCGCGAGAGGATCAGTATGGTGACGTGCTTCCGGCCACGATCGCCCTTCGTGCGCGATGAAACGGTCCTCACCGGGGTGCGAGGCATCAGTGATCCGTCCGAGATGTATACACAGTATATGAGCTATCGCATGGAGATCCTGGAGGAGCGGGTCCGGGCACGGTTGCAGACGGAGAAGCGGCGGGAGCTGGGGAAGCGTCCGTTTGATGTGCAGGAGGCCAGGGGGTTCTTGGTGGAACAGCTCCAGTTCTTGGAGGCGATGCTGGGGGAGATTGTGGAGGTGTCTAGCGAGTAGGGCGATGTGTCGTGGGTGGGTGTGCTTCTCCGACATGAGAATGACGGTCTGCATGACTACTGCTCTTGCAGACTATGAGTGGATTTAGCACTTTTCAATTTCCAGGTTTCCGTGTTTCAGAACAGATAACTTCCCAGCTGGCCTTGTTGTTGCCATCCATGCATCCATGTATGTCTATGTCTCAGTGTTGTTTGTTCTTTGTGTTTGTAGTTTGACAGTGGTTAAGTTACCCGTGTGGGCATCCGCTCTTCAGGCTCCTAGGCAGGCTCCCCTTCAACCTCTCCCCGTCTCATCACCATCTCTATCGTCAACAGTCCTCATTTCCATCCTCATCCTCACCCTTTAGTTCAGTTTTTCGCCAGCAGTTTATTCTTCCTTTATTCTTTACCTACTAGCTTAGCACCAGCGGTGAGCCCCTCAAACCAACGGGACGGTTACCTCACCAGCACCAGGGATCCAGACCGGCCGATTTATTTACTCTTGGTTCACTCCCGGCCATATAGACAGTAAGTACCCCGCACCACCTGATCTCAAAGCCTCCCTCTTCGCTCCTCATCGTGCTTTCACCCAAGTCATCATCATCGTTTACCCTCTCGACTGTTGGAGCTTGTCTTTCATGCAGCATTATCCTTTCTCCACGCATTGTGTCCAACTCAGCGGAGTCTCGTCTGTCATATCCTTCGGTTCCAAGGGAACGAACACGCCGCTTGACCCACCGCGAAGCGCCAGACCCGAGTGGTGGAGCCCACTTCTCCGGTCGGAGCTAAGTTATAGATCATCACATATCACATAACAATTCCACAACGACCTCTATCATCCGCCTCTGCTACTTGTTTGTTTGACCTTTCGACTCCCTCAGAAGTTGTCCTTTCTTTGACTGACCTTGACTCTCCTCGCGTCAGCTCGTCCCCATTATGTCTGATTCTCGAGGTGGCCAACAACGAGGCCGTGGTAGAGGCGATGGCCGTGCCAGAGGTGACCGTGGTCGGGGAGGGGGCGGTGACCGCGGTCGAGGAGGTGGTGGAGGAGGTTATCATGCAGATCGAGGCGGCGGAGGTGGTGCCCGTGGAGGTAGAGGCAGCCGTGGCTCTTTCGATCTTCCCTTCCGTCCTGGAAACGATGGGAGAGGCGATAGCAGGGGTCGTGGCCGTCCCAGAGGTTCCGATGCATTTCGTGGCGGCCGCGCGCCCCGCGGCGGGCGAGCTGACTATAACGGCCCGCCAGTCTTCTCCCCCGGCGGAGACCTCAAACCCAGCTCTCAGGTCGAAAAGAAGGAGGATGAGATGATGAAAGCATTGGTCAAGACACCGCCCTCGTCCGAAGACAGAAAATACCCCCTGCGTCCCGGCTACGGTACACAGGGAAAGCGAGTCGACTTATTCGCCAACTATCTTCAGCTTAAGTCGATCGGCAAAGCCCTGCACCGCCATCGCGTCGAAATTCTCGAAGACCAGTCCGTCAGGAGGCCTACCGGCAAGAAGGCGAAGCAAGTCATCAAATTGTTGATTGAGGAGCATTTTGCTTCGCAGCAAAATGGCGTTGTCACCGACTTCGTCTCCACTCTCATCTCTCGGGATAAGCTTCTGGAGGAAGGCGAGAATGATCACACGTATGACGTTCGCTACCGGGATGAATACGACGATGAATATCCAGAGCCATCAAAGGTCTATCGAGTGAAGTGCCAGCACACCGGCACTCTCGAACCGTCGGATCTCTTGGACTACTTGACCTCAGCCAATGCGACAAACATGTTCGACAAAAAGCCAGAGATTCTCCAAGCTATGAACATCGTCCTGGGCCATCAGCCCAAGATCGACCCGAACATTTACTCAGTGGGTGCCAATAGACACTTTGCCATCGCTCAGGGTCAGAAAGAGGGTTATAACCTCGGAGATGGGCTCGAGGCTCTTCGTGGATTTTTTGTGAGTGTCCGTGCTGCAACTAGTCGCCTCCTCGTCAATGTCCAAGTCAAATATGCGGCCTGCTACCAGGAGGGCGCGCTAGCGCACTTGATAACCAGTTATCAACAACCCCACCGTTTCGAATTCCACTCCCTACAACGTTTCCTGAAGACCTTGAGAATCCGGGCAACACACATCGAACGCAAAAACAAGCAGGGAGTGATCATCCCACGTTTCAAGAAAATCGCTAGTCTGGCTAACAGGGGAGATGGCGCATCGCTGCCACATCCTCCGATAGTCGCTTATCTCGGAGCCGGTCCCAAGGATGTGAAATTCTGGTTGGACGAAGCTGGCCAACAGTCATCGCAGCAGCAGTCCGCATCCTCGAAGAAGAAGAAGGGCAAAAAGCCAGTTACAGCGGGGCCTCCGTCGGCTGGAAGATACATCAGTGTGGCGGACTTCTTCGAGGAGCGTTATCGTATGACAAATCTAGATCCCCGAATGCCAGTGATAAATGTCGGGACTCGCGAGAATCCTAGCTATTTACCCGTCGAAGTCTGCAACGTCGAACCTGGGCAGCAAGCTAAGACCAAACTGAGCCCCTTCCAGACAAGAAAAATGTTAGAATTTGCAGTCAATTTTCCGCCAGTCAACGCTCAGTCGATTGTGAATAATGGAACTCGCATCCTCGGGCTCGCTGCTGCTTCAAATGCTACTTTGAAAGAGTTCGGTATCCAAGCAGATCCCCGACTCATCACAGTACCCGCCCGCATCCTTGATGCCCCTCAGATCTTCTACAAAGACGCGAACAACAAAGAGAAGAGACTCCTGTCCAGCGGTGGCAGCTGGAATATGAGGTCTATCAAATTCTCAATCGGCTCAACCTTAGGTTCCTGGGCCTGGCTTTTCTTGGACTCCAGCCCAACTAGAGCCCCCTCGCGCGAGGTACTGGACGCCGCCCTGGAACAATTTGTGACGAAGCTGAGAGAAGTCGGGGTTGAGGCTAAACCCCCTAAAGGTGGAGAGCGCGTTGTTCTCGCTCGCGGTAACGTGGATGGTCAGATTGGTGGCGCTGTCGAGGGGCTGATGGCCGCTCATAAGCCTACCATGATTCTTGGCATTCTTACCGACCAAAGCACGGACATTTATAACTGCATGAAGCGAGTCTGTGACATTCGAGTGGGTGTCCGCAATGTAAATGTGCTTGTCAAAAACTTCACGAACGAAAGGGGCCGCGAACAATACCTCGCAAACGTCGGCCTGAAGGTCAATCTGAAGCTCGGGGGTGCGAATCAGCTGATTCCTAGAGAGCTTGGGATAGTGAGCAAGGGAAAGACCATGCTGGTTGGTATCGATGTAACTCACCCCTCTCCCGGGTCATCCTCAAAGGCCCCAAGTGTTGCGGGAATGGTTGCCTCGATTGATTCCCACTTGGGTCAATGGCCAGCAGAGCTCCGAATCCAGACATCCCGCCAAGAGAGGGTCAGTGAGCTGGACGAGATGCTGAAAGCTCACCTCGGCCGGTGGGCTAAGACCAACAAGGGTCAGTATCCGGACAATATCATTGTCTACCGCGACGGAGTATCTGAAGGGCAGTATGAAATGGTTGTTGAAGAAGAACTACCCCTTCTCAAGAGCGCTTGCAAGCAGCTGAAGTATGCCAAAGGGCTACCACGGATCTCGGTCGTGATAGTGGGCAAGCGGCATCACACACGTTTCTATCCTACGCGTGAAGAGGACGCCGATGGCCATTTGAATCCCAAAAATGGCACTGTAGTCGACCGCGGTGTGACGGAAGCCCGCAACTGGGAGTTCTATCTACAGGCTCACACTGCTCTCAAGGGGACTGCTCGCCCGGCGCACTACTTCACTGTTTGGGACGAGATCTTCTGTCAAGAGAGGCCCAAGGCAGGGCAGAACACAGCTGACATCCTGGAAGACCTCACTCACAAGATGTGCTATCTGTTCGGGCGGGCGACCAAGGCCGTGAGCATCTGCCCGCCTGCATATTATGCCGATCTGGTCTGCGAGCGAGCGCGATGCTATCTGTCTGACCTGTACGATGCGACACCGACCGGTAGCGTGATCACTGGCGTTGGGGGTGGGGGTGGTGCTGATACCGTGGACGGTAGCAGGGTCACCATTCACGGTGCCGTCAAGGACACAATGTTCTACATCTAATGTGTCCTTGTCGGATTAGTGTCATTGGGTGTTGGGTGATGTGTGGGGCGCGATGTTGGGAGTTGCTCCTTCAATATATGACAGTGTGCGATTATTGTAGCGAGCAGCTCTGTGATGAAAGTACAGTCTTGTTTTGGGTCTAGTGGGATGGAGACTGTTCATATGCTGGTCATATTTCGGGTTTCCATGCAGATACGGCTTTAGTTGCACACAGAATGACATAAATTAGTGCCTGCTTTCCAAGCATTATGTTGCTTATAGATATTTGAGCTGAAGGAGGAGGGCGCATTTCATGGACAGTAGACTAGTACATGGATTGGTCTAGTCTATGGTGCCCCGCCATCCTGCAGGTAATCAGGAGCATAAGCTTATCCTTCACCCTCTCTCCGCTTTACAGTACTACAAAGCAAGCCCGTCTCTTGGGATGTGCTGTACATTCATCCGAATACATCGTCGTGTCGTCAGCGCTCGAAGTCTCACTTAGCTACTATAGTACTGTACCATTAGCGCGATAGACCCCTCATCTCGACCATTATCCGACTAGAAGCACTAAAATAGATGCCCTAGTCGAGCTGGAAGTGGGTGCGACCCGCACCGCAAAGCTTATCGGTCGGTTCCAGCTCTACGTTAGCCGGTGTTGTGTGTGTCCGAGAGTAGTCTAGCAGGCGCATTGGCGGACTCTAGACTGGGACTCTACTTTCTGAGATACTGGAGTACTTTCGTGTCTTGTTCTTGCGACGACATGCTGTCTCGATGCTTTCTTTTTCTGGCCCCTTTACTTTATCTTTTTTTTTCGGGGGCGTATACGCATGCATCAAGAGATGGCAAAGGGCGCCCCTAACTTGTAGCTCCACTTTGGTGGTTCCTTGCGGGTTGAGGACATTAATGTCCTTTCTTGATTCGATCTTACACCAACAGGGTTGCTCAAGTCATAAAAATGTCCAGTTTGGAATTATAATACCGTGGCTAACATCACAAGAAAATAATAAGAGCATTAATCAATAACCGTGTCATCTTCCTTTTCTCCCACAAAGCAAACGACGGCCAGCCGATCTACAGCTTGGCCGCGGGGGAGGCACTGCCCGCCGACGAGATCTCGTTGTACAAGAGGGTGGTTAGGAAGTCCGCGTAGTCCTCGCCGGTGACCTGACCGGCGAAGTAGCGGGCGGCCTGCTGGAACTTGTTGCCGGCGGGCCCCTTGGCGGCCAGATCGTCGGCCTGTTCCTGCAGCAGGCGCAGGGCGTAGGCCTTGTCGACCTTCTTGCCGTCGGAGGTGGTGATGCCGTGGTGCGTCCATTGCCAGAGTTGACTGCGCGAGACTTCGGCGGTGGCGGCGTCCTCCTGTATCAGGGGTTAGGTCTGCAAGGTGATTGGATTGATGCAGGGGGAAAGCTTACCATGAGGAAGTTGATGGGGATACAGCCCACGCCCCGGAGCCATCCCTCCATGTACGACAGGCCGATGTTCAGGTTCTTGCGGATGCCCTCCTCGGTGATCTTGCCGGGGACGTTGGTGTTCAGGAGGTCGTTGGCGGTGATGTTGACGTCCTCGCGGCGCACGAAGAGCTGGTTGGGGGTGGGCATGTGCGTGTTGAAGACGTCCGAGGCGATCGCCGCCAGCGCCGGGTGGGCAACCCAGGTCCCGTCGTGGCCCGCCCGCACCTCCCGCAGCTTGTCCGCACGAACGCTCTCCATCGCCTTGTCGTTGGCCGCTGCGTCGGTCTTGATCGGGATCTGAGCTGCCATGCCGCCCTGGTGGGAATTAGCATGTTTCATCGCTTCTTTTGATTGTTTTGGGGGCTGAAACTTACCATGGCGTGAACACCTCTCCGGTGACAGGTCTTGATCAACAACTTCACGTAGGCATCCATAAACGGCACCGTCATGGTGACGTCCGAGCGGTCCGGCAGCACGAAATTAGGGTGCTTGCGGAACTTCTTGATGAAGGAGAAGATGTAATCCCAGCGGCCACAGTTCAGGCCGGAGCTGTGGTCGCGGAGCTCGTAGATGATCTCGTCCATCTCGAAGGCGGCAGTGATCGTCTCGATCAGCACGGTGCCGCGGATCGTGCCCCGGGGCATGCCGATGTAGTCCTGGGCGAGATTGAAGACGTCGTTCCACAAACGCGCCTCCAGGTGCGACTCCATCTTGGGCAGGTAGAAGTACGGCCCGAACCCGCGGGCCACCAGCTCCTTGGCGTTGTGGTAGAAGTACAGGCCGAAGTCGAACAGACTGCCCGAGATGGGCTCGCCGTCGACGGTGAAGTGCTTCTCCTCGAGGTGCCAGCCTCGCGCGCGCGCGATCAACGTCGGCAGCACCCGATCCGTCCGCAGCTTGTACTCCTTGTTGCCTTGCTTGAAGTCGACCTGGCGGCGGATCGCGTCGTAGAGGTTGACCTGGCCGTTGATCATGTTCTCCCAGGTGGGGGCGCTGGAATCTGTTCATTGGAATGAATTAGCACCTTGAAGAAACGATGAGTATAGCAGCGGGAACAGGCGGCGAACCTTCAAAATCAGCCATGTATGTCCAGACATCCGAGTTGAGCGCGTTCACCACCATCTTACGGTCGGTGGGACCTGTGATCTCAACACGGCGGTCGACCAGACCAGGGGCCGGGGGAGCGCCTTTCCAGGCGTCATTCTCGCGGATGTGCTTGGTTTCGGGGAGGAAGTCGGGCAGATGGCCCTTGTCGATCTCGGCTTGTCTGTCAATGCGACGTTGGAGGAGGGCTTTGCGGGTGGAGTTGAAGGCGCGGTGGAGGATGGCAAGAAAGACACAGGCGTCTTTGGTGAGGATCTTGCGAGCTTCGGTGCTCACAGTGCCCAGGATGGCCACGTCCTTGAGCTGGGCCTCGGATTGGCTCATTGTGAAGACTTTGGTAGCGTGAAATTGACACCGATCTCGATTTGAGTCGACAGAGGAGAAGAGGTATAGAAGGGATAAAGAAGTAGTGTAGATCGCAGCTTAAGCACAGTAAGTTCCAGCTCTGCAATCGAAGGAGGGAGAGGCAAAGTATATAAGTTCAACGCCCAGAATCTTATCGGAGGGCATGAGGTGGGCTCGACGACGTCAGAACCCACGGACAGCCGCGGCCCATGGGAAGTTCGGATCATCCATGGTCGCGGGGTACCGCCGATAATGGAGGGTGGATAGAGATACTTTCTGACCAGCATGCAGATAGACTCAGGAATGAGTCTGGGTTGCACCCACTGGCACCCACTCTATCACCACGTGACTTCTCCGCGGGCAACTCGTCCTTTCGGCCGACTGGACCCGATTGGGGCTGGGGTTCCCCGCCCGGCACGCGCCGGCCACCGCCTCCGATTCGGGCCTTATCGTTTCTGATGACTCGATACATTCACCTCTACCCTTTGATATAGCTTGAACCCCCCCCCGCCGATGCTCTGATATGTGAGGGAAGTTGAGGAGAGGAGAGCCAGGGCGTCCGGAGAGATGGTCTCTCGTCCGAAAGCATTGGCGTCAGCAATCCGTGTCTAACTAATTGACTAATCAGCGCTACAACGGCCCAAGACCGTTTATCAGTCCACTGCGCCCTTTTCCATCCTACCGAGGATGTGCGCCCTCGATAAGCCTTCCTCATCTCCCCGCATGTCCGAACAACCTCCAGCCAGCCGCGGCTGCACCAGCAAACCACCATGTAGCTGACGCTGGTACACACGTCGATCATGCTCGGTCCTTTTCGGGGTATCCCACATCCACCTACCGATCGATTCCGATAAGAGTCACGGCTGTTTTCGTGACGACGGATGCGTTGAAGCGGTCTTCGCCACTCTTCAACAACCACGCCCTGACAAGTCAATAGAAGAAGTCTGTCTTCGGTTTTTCGATGAGCGCATAAAATGACCCGAAGCTCCAGATAATTTTTCCTCTTTCACCCCACAGGAGATGCGATCAGCTCGATGCCATGTTCCAGCTCACGGACATGTGAATGCATGTGATTCTGCGGCATACTTCTGGGGGCGTTCTTGCGAGTAACTGGGCTCAAAATCTGGGCGCCACGCGCCGCTTACCCACCACGGGTTCCGGAATGTGGACGAGACACTTTCGGAACATGCAGGACAATGAGTTCTAGCCTCCACGCAATCATGACACAGCGCTAATTTGAAGCTGGGGGTGGGCGTGGTCATGCTACTCATATATCCTCCGATGGCAGTGGGATGGATTTATGCCAGCAGAGCCGTGTCTGCACCTCTGCTTGCTGAAATGGGAGCTATGACCACCTGCGAGCCTTGTTCGTTTCCCCACACTCCAGCATAATTTTCGAAGGGGGTTCGTCATCTAGCTTCTCGCGATGAACCTCAGACCCCCGTCACGGGCACTGTGGAAGCGATTAGTAGAGGACCTCACGCTCAGGTATATCAAGCTCTGTCCAAGTGCGCACTTCAGTATTCGAGTCAGCTGCATCATGCCCAGACGGACTGTCCCAGGACTGCATCTTCCGGATAGAGGTCGACTGAAAGCTCTGAGTAGCGACAGTGAGCGTAGTATCGTAGATACTTCGACAAGTTCCAACGTCTCTTTGTGCCCCGACTAGATTTCAATCCGGGATTGAGAAGCATCCGCGGCTACAGCATCCTTCAACGCCCTCCGATGCCCAATTGCGTTCTAGCTTCACAATAAGCTTCGAGACTGGCTTTTGGTCATGTTTTCCCTGGATGACTTTATAATCAACACAATCGCAAGCCATGTAGCCAAACTTGATCAAATTGTGCTATTAATATTACAATGTGCCTTACTACAGGAGAACCAACACATGGCATGGCAACCATATGATCCTATGCCCTGTATTTTACTTAAGGCCTTCCAGAAGGCGTGGAAAACACACCAAATTTAGAGCTAATGTGCTTCTGGCGGGGAGGCTGCTGACTCAGCCCGTCCAGGGTCTATCACGAACATCACGCGGGGCGTTCCTTTGTTTTCTCCGCAACCACATCAACCTCCTCAACACTAACAGTCCATGCCAGTCGCGTGCGTGACAAACTCTAGAACTACTTCAACATGGGATCTAAGACCCCCGAGGGATATCGGCAGGAACCCGATGGTATGTGCCATCTTAACACGAAGAATGAATCCTTGGATCTAACTTGACCGTGTGACTTAGCCCCCAACTCCTCCGACTTCAAGCCCGCCAACCCTCAAGTCAAGGCCTCTCGAAATGGCTCCGGCTCTGCGGACTTGGATCGAGGGATCATCAGCGACGATGATGACGACGACGACAATTCGAAGGAAGAAAATGGGGTGAACGGAGCCTCGACTGCTGGTACGTTCGCATCACACCACTCAGATCAACCTTATAAACAACACTGACACAATCACTCCGCCACCTAGACAAGAAACAAAAGAAACGCAAGAGATCCAAGAAGAAGAAGAAGACCACCCCCACCGCGCAGACCACCCCACCGCGGGTGCCGCTCTCCACCCTCTTCCCGTCCGGCCAGTACCCGCGCGGAGAACTCGTCCCCTACGCCGAGGACGAGAACACCGCCCGCACGACCGACGAAGAACTGCGCTACAACTCTCGCCTCTGGGATGACGACTTCCTGCCCGATTACCGCAAGGCGGCCGAGGTCCACCGCCAGGTCCGGCAGTATGCCCAGCGGGAACTGATCAAGCCGGGCGCCAGCCTCACCGCCATCGCCGAAGGGATCGAGGACGGCGTGCGCGCGCTCACCGGCCACCAGGGCCTGGAACCCGGCGACGCTTTTCATGCGGGCATGGGGTTTCCGACCGGCCTCTGTCTGAACAATGTGGCGGCGCACTGGACGCCGAACCCTGGCGCCAAGGATGTCATTCTGGATAAGAACGACGTTCTCAAGGTGGACTTCGGGGTCCATGTGAATGGGCGCATTGTCGACTCCGCGTTCACGGTCGCGTTCGAGGACAAGTACGATAACCTTCTTACTGCGGTCAGGGAGGCGACCAATACCGGTATCAAGGTATGTGCAGTGGCTCCAAGGACACAGGCCAGATGACTGATTTGGCTAGCATGCCGGTATTGATGCGAGAATGGGCGAAATCGGCGCAGCCATCCAGGAGGTGATGGAAAGCTACGAGGTCGAAATCGATGGGAAGACCCGCCCCGTCAAGGCCATCCGAAACATTACCGGGCATGACATTCTGCGCTATCAGATTCATGGCGGGAAGCAAGTCCCGTTCATCAAGAGCAACAATCGCGACAAGATGGAGGAAGGAGAGGTGTTCGCCATCGAGACGTTTGGAAGCACCGGCAAGGGGTATCTAGAGGATGATGTACGTATACACCGGTTTCGATGTGCGATTCAGGTTCTAATAACTTCTCAACAGGTGGGCCTCTACGGCTACGGTAGAAACACCGACGTGTCCGGTGCCAACCTGCGTCTCGCATCTGCGAAGTCGCTGCTGAAGACCATCGATTCGAATTTTGGGTCGATTGTTTTCTGTCGTCGGTATCTGGAGAGACTCGGGGTGTCCCATTATCATCTCGGGGTGAGTATCTCCATGGTCGTGGGGCTGTTGTGCTTCTGTTACTGACGGGTTCCATAGATGAAAAACCTGATCGATAACGGTATTGTCGAGTCTTATGCGCCGCTTGTCGACGTGAAGGGCTCCTACACCGCCCAGTTCGAACATGTATGGCTCCCTTTCCCTATATGATACGCCTTGGATCGAAGTTAATTCGTGCTCTAGACCATTCTCCTCCACAGCGGCGGCAAGGAAGTTATCAGTCGTGGTGACGATTACTAGGTTAGCTAGTCGGCCGTTTGACATCTATAGACGATGTCGCTGGCGTTCTGCTTTGCCTGTTTATTTTTGACTAAGTAATGCTTCGCTGAACCCTTCGATGACCTCGGATTGAACATCCGTTCAGGTACTTGTTCGTTCGATTTCTGATTGCTGCATCTTTTGTTGCCTTGGGTGCGCTGCCACGTAGCAAGGCATCCTAGTCCAGTCATTACCTCCATTTGAATATGAACCACCGGTTTACTGATCGAGCTTCACTCTCCGCCGCACTGTGACGATAGACGTAGTATAGGACACAACTCCTACTAGATAGCCCCTATGATACTGTTATCTCTCAAGCGGTTATATGATCATGCGAATGAGGACCAGGAGAGCGGCAAGGAAGGCAGCAATTAATATTGCGACAAAGAGGGCAAGGAGGATAGCGAGGACGAGGACCAAGAGAACAGCAAAGACGGGAGGCAAGGATGGCAAACCTGAAAGTTACAAGGACGATGGCAAGCAGGATGAGGATACTTAATCCAAGGGTAAGCAAGCCAAGGGTAAACAGTTAAAGGGTAAGTCTACAGACACCAAGCAATCTGGTGGTGACTTTGATGGCAACGAGAGTCAGGGAGGTGGCCAAGTCAGCGAGAATCGACTCAAGGAGTCTGTTATCAGGGCTGACCCCAACACTGTGCTCGGAGACCGCCAAGCTACTATGAAGGACTGGCAATTGGTGTGATATGACCGGGTATGTACTGTACTTGAGCTGCGTGTGACATCAGATGCAGTGGTCCTTGGGTTCTCGTTTGCGCTATCTGACAAGGATGTCCACTATCCAGCGTAGGCTTTCCAGCCAATCTCCCTGCCCTACTCGTAATTCCCAGCCTCGTAGAACACCCGAAAACGCGACTTTCTGCCCAGCAAATCTGCCGGCGGATCGAACTCGACCACCTCGCCGTGATCGAGCAGTACCACACGATTGCTATCCATGATGGCATCGAGCCGATGCGCAATCGTGATTACCGTACATTCCTTAAAGCGCTCTCGAATGACCTTCTGGATAAGCCGTTCTGTGGCAACATCGATGCTGTTTGGGGGAACAAAGTGAGTAGGTCAGGATAGAGAAGAGAAGGCAGAGATGACTTACTCGCTAGTGGCTTCGTCCAGCACCACAATCCTGCACCGCTTCAGTATCGCGCGACCCAGGCAGAACAGTTGCTTCTGTCCATGCGAGAGATGGACCTGAGACATGTCGGTGTCGAGACCGCCCTGCTGTTCGATTATATTCTCCAGGTGAACAGCAGCAAGTGCTTGACTAACGCTGACATCATCGGAGACGCGGTGGGGGTCTATATTGTCACGGACAGAGCCTGGCAAGAAGCAGGGTTCCTGGGGAATGGCATTCATGGCGGTGCGGACGATATCGGCCGGCAGTGTTGAGGTGGCGATGTCGTCAATAATGATACTTCCTTCAGTCACCTCGATCATTTTGAATAATGCCATCATCAAGGAGGATTTGCCGCTATCGATGTAACGGTTGACGCACACTGTCAGTTTGGATGCTATTACAACGGTACCGAGGTTTGGACCTCCACCGTTGACTTACCTGCCAGTTCGACCACACACTCCGACCTTTTCTCCGGGCTCGATTCTCAGAGATATCTTACGCAGAGCCGGGACAGTCCCAGTCCTGGCACGTGTTTGTGAGACCCAATACAATTTCGGAAATACAGCAGCAAGGAAAACATGAAAGACTTACTGGTACGTGGCAGTGAGATTCTGGAACTCGATATGACCCCGGTCCGGCCAGTTCTCGGGAGGTGTCGTGGTCGCTGTGGAGAGCTCCTCCACCGGGGTCTCGCTGGCATAGTCTCGGACACGCCCGATCGAGGTCAGGGATGTTTCAAACTCGGTCCAGACCATGATGATGTCAGTCAAGATGCCGCTCAAGCTGATAACGTTTGAGAGGGCTACGCCTGCGAAGCCTGGGCTGATCCGATCTTTGAGTCCAATGAGCAGCCCGATCAGAAGAAGCACAAATCCGGCAGCCAGGCAGTCCATGACTAGGGCCAGCCAGCGTTGGACACAGAAGAGAAGATAGAACGGGGTCTGCGATTGAGCCAAGTGCTTGTGGTTTTGCCGAATCAGTCCTTCTTGCCATCCAAAGGCGCGGACTGTAGCCAGTCCATCGAGAGACTCCATGAACTGCGAGCTGTAAGGGGAAGATAACTCAGGCTTAGTGGTGCTTGCCCAAGGAACGCGTCTGATAGTGGAGCGTGACACTTACTAGAGGGGGCCCTTGTTTTCCAGGTCCATCTTCCGTAGCTGCCGCGAGGTTCTCAAATAGACCTTCTGCAGCACAAACATCACCAAGAATATCACCGGGTACGAAATCGCCACCCAATACGATGAAGTCATGATTAGGAGTATCTGGCCCAGCATAATAAGGCCACCTGTCGTTGACATTAGTAACCATGCACCGGACAAGGGGAAACGGCGGAACTGACTGCAGAAGATGTTTAAAAGCGCCATGGGTAGCTCTGTGTCAACAAGCTGTATATCCTGACTGAATCTGCCTCATAAAACAGCAGTTAGATCCACTCCGGATAGAGTTTCAACCATCAACCAACCTGGAAACAATTGAACCAAGCTTGGTTGCTTGAAAGAAAGACATGGGCGCCCTGTCATTGGTGTCAGAATTAAAGATGTTGTCAAATCATCCTCCGGCGCAATTACCGAAAAGTCGTTTGCACAAGGGTCCAGTGGAGGGATCGCCCTGCGGACGATACAACATTGATCACAGCATGCCTGGCAGAGAATCAATAAGCGGACTAAATGCACAGTGGGAAAGAAGAGCGGGGGAGATGGAATGCACGCACCACCCCAGAACAGCGAGAGCTATAAGGCAGGAGCACTGAAAAAGTGCATAGATGCCCATATACATAGCTTGATGGTATCCGGGATGTCTCTCATTTGCTTCACTCCACCATTCGGCCCAGACATCTATCCACTTTGATCAGCATCATCTCAAAACATAACAAATCTATTCAAGAGGTGGGCGCCCTTACATGGGAAACAGAAGAGAAAAGCGTACACAATGGCAATTAGGACATAAGCCAGAGAAAAGAGCTTCCCGATCGACAGCATGTAATAGACCATCACATTCACCCTGTTAGCCGACTCTGTTGCCGCCGAACTTGAGCCAATCTCAGAGACTGCAACTTGTGGCTTTTCCACAGTTGGAGAACTAGCTTGTGTGCTGGGCAGTTCGGCATCCATCTCAATTTCGGGGATAGGGGTAGGCGCGTGGGATGTATCACTCGTTGAAGAGCTCGGGCGCCGTTTCAACTCGGACAGCGACCCCTGTTCCACCACTTCACCATTCGCACTGAGACGAATAATGTGATCAGCGTAAGGAGCGTGGTGCTCTTAGTGCATGAAGTTGTCGGTTAGCTAGATCAGCCCAGTCCGAAAGGTATGGAGAAGTATCTCACCTGCATGGGTTGCCAACACTGTTGTACTGCCATTATTCCGTAAAAGCCCATTAGGCCCCAGCAAACGCTGGAGAACTTTGGCTTCTGTAGTAGCATCAAGCCCACTGAGGACATCATCAAGAATGTAGACACTGCGTCTTGCATAAATCGCTCGAGCGAGTGACTACAATGAGTTTGGTCAGAATGACGCACACAAGATCGTAGGAACAGACAGTAGAGTGAGTGACCTACCACGCGCTGCTTCTGGCCCCCACTCAAATTTGCCCCATTGTCACCCAACTGCGTATCATTTCCATCTTCGAGGTGGAGAAGGTCCTCTTCAAGGGCACAGGCGTGAAGGACGGCCTTGTACCAACGTTCATCGTAGTCGGAGAATGCTACAATGTTGTCTCTTAGGGTTCCGTCCCGAACCCAGGGTGTTTGAGCACAATATGCTGTGGTGCCGGTGGAGACAATTATTTCACCCTCCGAGGCAGGGATTTCACCAAGGAGCGCATGCAGCAAACTGGTTTTCCCGCAGCCAACAGGCCCAAAGATCATGGTGAGCTTCTGCCTGGGAATTGACAGGCTAATGTTGCACAGCACCGGGCTTGCACCTCCCGGCCAGCTGAAACTCGCGCTCCTGATGGAAATGGTAGCAGCAGTTGTGACCGAGGATTTTTCTTCAACTTTAACATTCGTCGGCTTGAGTTTGTCGAGGGTGGATGCAACAACCTTGCGTTGGTCAGACCTCGGGTCAGTGAGCAGAAACTGCTGGATCCGTTGAAAACAAGCCACCATCGAGGCTAATTCCGGGGCAGATTGAAAGAGCATGCTCAAGGGCTGTGAGATCAGCATCAATAGTGATAGGGAGGAGAACATTCGACCAGCATCTAGGGTGACGTGGCGTGCATGGTCTGCGGCAATAAAGACTGCAAAGGTCAGCACCGGGGATATGATGACCGGAAGGAACCCTGCCCAGATCGTCAGTCACTGTCCGCCATGGCTCTTTACTGGAGGGAATATGTGTTGGACTCGCCCATCATCATCGCGCCAATTTCCCACCACCTGAACCCAGTAGCAGCTTTAAGCTCGTTTTCCCGCGTCTGTTGGAGTATCCCCATCACTTTGCGCATCAAGCCAGACATCCTCAGGCTTTTCATCGCAGAAAGGGTGCTGGTGGTCATTCCTGATAATCATAAGTCTTTCATCCACGTTGAAAATTGGTCCTCGAATTTTGGCAACGTACCGACTCGTTTTTCAACCACCCCCATCCAGGCCTCTTGCTGCCGACCCGCAGACGCTCCAAACCTCATGGTTAGCAGAGCACATACTGCACAAAAAGTCAGCTTCTGCCGGGTACTTCTAGAGCGCTGACTGGCGGAATTCTGCATACCAGATGCGATTACAAGTGAAGGCACAACAGCGACACCAACTTGCCGTTCCAGCAACCAGGCTCCGAACGCAACTTGGATAAAATTCGCCCATATCTCGTGGACCATTCTGAGACCACCGACAATCCGCTCGACATCAGCATTCATGATAGTCAAGGCGGAGGACCTATTGGTGGATGATACATCGAGGCTGAGGGTCTTGCGGTAAACAATCGCAACCAAAGCGCCTCGCACGCAGGTAATGAATTGATAGGTCTGATGCCAGTACCACGCCGTGGTCATCTACGACTGCGTCAATAATTGCCCAGGATCGGTATCACGGGAGAAAGATCACTCTCATACCGCGATTCCGACATAGACGATTGCGTAGGCGCCAAGCAGTCCGTAGCCAATATTCCGCTCGGGTGGTGTGCTGGGTGCATGGATGTAGTTGACCATTTGGACCAAGAGAAGAGGCTGTGTAAGGGTCAATGCAATGAGACAGAGCCTCGGCAAGATTGGGCTTAGAAGGCGCATCTTCAAAGCTTGAATCGTGGACACCAGAAGGGCGTTCTTCCCGGTTTTGACGGCTACAAGAGCATTAGTGTTCGACTTTCTATTCCACTGAAACAATGAGAAGACAATAGCAGTATAAAAAAGAGATACCTCGTCCCCAGACATCCCACAGGTCCTTCTCTAGGTTCACTGTACAGAACCCAGCCGGCATGGGATAGAGATCCTTGAACGCAAGCTCACGCATATAGCCAAGCCGGATGAGGTTGTTAATCCAAAGAAAGAAGGTTTTGGACACGATGCCTGCAAAGTCTTCCGGACTACTGGGAGCATTGTGCTCCTGCATCAACCATCGGGTCTTGGTAGCCGATTCCACTACGGTCTGTACTCCCCTCATGACGAAAGTCGCGGTGAAAATACTTGCAATGCTGGTTCTTACATTGGCAAGCCAAAGTGACCGTACCTGCACGCCATCAAGCAGGAGAGTCAACAGCAAATAACCATTTATGAGAAATGATGGTCGCGTGGTCTTCCTATGTTCGGCGTAGGAAAGCAGTGCCAGTCCCATTGCCGCAACCAGGTTCAATGCAGTGGCTGCAATCGATACTCTGGTGCGGTCCGCGGGTACCACACAATAGATCACCAACAGGGCCAGTTGAAGGCAGGCAGAAATCGTGGATGCTGTCTTTTTCCGGCTGTGAGCTGTCTTTCCCATGTTCCCTTGTTTCTGATGTGCATTTCCGCACTCACCAGTTTGGATCCTAGCAGGGCCCACCCGCTGACTAGGTAATGTCTTTGCCACAGTTGGTAGCCTCTCCCTAAGGCCAAGAGCAAGAAAAGCGAGGAGGGCAGAATGGACAGCACTGATTGTTCGAAAAGCAGTGTAAAGTCAAATGCACGACGGCAAGGGTGCACTGTTGGACCCCAAAGATCGTCCAAGGCGAATGGGCATCTTTGCTGTGACATTGTGACAGTATCGTTTCTGAGCCAGAGGGGAGGAAAGTTTGCGTCGACAGTATGGGCATCCAAAATGGGCACCTATTTAAGGGCCGTTAGGTTCAGGGTCGAATAACAAGAAGGCTGTTCACGCTGTTTTGGTTTGAGTTCCTCTCCAACCTGTAAGTTGATACGAGCCAATCTTCCTCCATGAAGGCGCTTGCGAAAGATAAGAGGTACATGCGGCGAATATCAATGGACTCGGACATGGTCCGACATTCTTCAGAAGATTAGTACTGCTATCTATGGGTGGATATGGTCGAGATAGGACATGCACGTATGAACCCATGTACTGCTACTGGTCTATGTTGTATCAGCTGTGTTCATTATATTGCTATAATGGTTGGACTATATCTTGTCCGCGGAGGTGATTGATGCTTTCCACCCACTCAGCCGCAGAAAGTCCCGCCAACATCTGCATCTGGCTATGCATGAGGCCACCAATGCAGTAAAATCAGGCGTGGATCTGCGTTTCACATCTCACCGGACGGAAATAACTCGACATTCCAGAGGGCTGCCACGGCGGCTTCCCGTTGGACTCCGCTGCACGAAGCATGAGAGATGCATTCAAGGACTCCAAAGAGTCGCGGTCACTCGGACATGACCGACACATAATCTGTGGGGTGGCGATTATTGCAGGAGGTATTTGAGCTCAGCTAGTTGGAGTCGAGACCTGAATCTGGCTCATCCTTCTTTGCGCCTTTCACCTTCGCCCGATCAACATGGCTTCCCCAACCCGCACTGCGTTGTTGCTCATCGACATCCAGCAGGGCTTCTCGCATCCCACCCATTGGGGCACGCAGCGCTCAACGCCGCAGTTTGAACAGAATGTTACTGCTCTCCTGGCCGCCTTCCGCACTACGCCTGGCGCTCATGTTCTTCACGTCTGTCACCATTCCACCTTCCTTGGGTCGCCTCTGCACCCGTCGAAGCCAGGTGCGGACTTCATGCCATACGCACGACCGATCAAGGGCGAGCCCGTCTTTTCCAAGACCACCAACTCTCCTTTCATTGAGACGGGTCTCGCCGATGTCTTGCGCCAGTTGAACTTGCAGCGGCTGGTAATTATCGGACTGATGACGGCTCACTGTGTCAGCACAACCCTCCGCGCCGCATCCAATCTACGAGTGGTCAACCATGGCTACGGCTGCGTTGTCAAGGATGGAAGCGAGCCCCAGGCGGAGATCATCCTTGTGCAGGATGCCACGGCCACCTTCAACGTTCAATTCGACGGGCGTGAGTACGACGCTGAGGCAGTCCATGCCATCCACCTCGCCACCATGAAGGACGAATTCTGTGATGTCACCACCACCGCCGATGTTCTCGGCCGGATGCAGGCCTCCGGAACGCAGAGTCGGGGCGAACGTACTTTGATCGATGCAGACAGTAAGCCGCAGGGATGGCAAGCGAGGATATCTAGTCGTCTCTAAGCGTCGGCTGCCTGGGTCAGACGGCGATGACCGAGTGGGCCTACCTTCGTTAGTGTTTGATGTTTCATCCAGGCCATGCAAATTCTACTTCTCCGAAATTGGTATGATTTGACCTGTGGGCCGTAAGCGCTAAACTGGGATGTAATGATTAGTCTGCGTGTGGGAAATAGGATACTCCTGCCTTGATGTTCTTTCGACATCAAATGCTTACTGTATGTATGTATGTATGTATGAATGTATCCATCGGTCTAAATATGCTTAACGTTACTTGAGTTACGCATACGCAGGGAAATTGCTGCAGTCGCTGCAGGAATGACCGACGGATTCCGGCTCCTTCAAGTGCCGATTAGGGCTAGAGGATGAGCTGTCACTGCAGACTCCGCCCCCTTGGCATCAGGCGTCCACAAAGCTTAGCAGGTACTGAAGCTGTATCTATCTCTACTTATCATGCCGGACGATGTAATTAGTCTTTCATCGCTTTTATCATGGACCTACCCCTCCATGCAACTACCCCTCCATACATCTACCCCGCTATGCTTCTGCCCATGTCGCCATTTCAACTACCCCTCCCGTAAGATGATGTGGGGCGAATCCAGCGGCTTGGGATCCATCGCGCAACTGACATGCCGAGGCTGGACTCAGTGGCAATCGACAGATAAGGGCGGGCGGGCAATGTTAGGCAAAACGACGAATGGGACGATTGGAAGCACACTAGACAGACAGATCGTGTCAAACAACAGGTCATACATGCACCTGTCTTGCAAAATATTTCGCCTGACATGCCACGGTATTGGTATTACATTTCACCATGAGTCTCATACTCTGTATTGTACTGTACTGTACTGTATCATACTGTGCTTCGCGATCCAGTCTGTACAGTAGCATACATATATCTGCGCAACCAATACAGTAAAGTATGCTTACATGTATCAAGAGGATCTCCAACCATGAAGATTGAATCCCTGATCAGACCATTGATGCCTCGCGGTGAGCCCTTGGAAAGAAAAATATTGTTGCAATTGGCCTTTGTAACATGATCTAAAATCGCTAGGGAGGACTAGGCAGAATATGTTTCTTGCAAGCAGAGTTGTCCTGAACCCCTCATACCCTATACAAACATGATGATATACCGCCCCCCCACCCCCCACCCCCTCCCCCCCGCCCCCACTTCCTCGCTCCTTTTTCCCGTGCAGAAAAAATGCTTAGAGGCTCTGCTGCTGACGGAGATAAGGATAGATGGCTTCACTCCAAAGCGGCCGCATCTTGTACACACCCAGTCTCTCCGGCATGCTCTCGATGGCATCGGCGAGCGCGGGGCCATTGCCCTCGGCTCGCACATCCTGCAGCGAGGTCATGTATGAGCGGACACAGAAGATGACGGCGCGCGACCTCGCCAGCCGGGTCAAAGTCTGATGCTCCACCCGGAGATAACAGTCGCCTAGGTTGACAGCACGCGATTTGAGGGGTAGTTGATTATCCTTCTCAGGATAGAAGTTATTGCCATCCATGCGGAAGAGATCCCGGCCATCAGTCTGGAGACTCCACTGTGTGCCACGTCAGTCAACACGGTTTTTCCAAGGTTGGAAGCACAAGAGGATCCCGTGTAGGTGCTTCCAGATGGTTAGCTCTTACATTCATCCTTCCCACGAAGACTCCTGGCTCAAGGCGGACAAGAAATCGGTCTGCACCTTTGCCAATACGAGCTTCAAATCCAGGTACGGGCTGGTGAATCTCGCGCATTGACATGCCTACTCGCGAAGGGCTCAGGAATCCCCCCGGGAAGCAGGCAATGTAACCCTGCAGTCTCAACTCATTTTCCGCATCGGGACACATAATATAGAAGTCTTCTTCGACGTTCTCACCCAGGTTGCGCAGCATGGTCAGCGGAGTCAGTCCCGCGAGATCGACAGAATAGGACTGGTTGGTGACCTTGTTGTGGAGAGTCTTGCCGCGCAGATCAAAAATTGTAGGATAGCGTCGGGGTAGGAGGTCCATGATTTCCTCGTAAAGCTCTGCAATGGCCGGGTCGACGATGGGGTTGCTCCCAAAGACCTCCTTGGGATTGGTCTGCATGACTCGCTTACGTTCTTCAATGCGGTCGAGGTACCCTCGGTCAATGCGGATCCACTCCTCCTTGGGCATTTTCTTGATCCCTGTCTCAGGTCGAGTTTGTTGAGGTCAGATTTTGAGCACCATGGCGCATGAAGAACAAGGAATGGGGCTCACCCATTGAAACGTGCTGCATGGTCTTGAAAGGTCGGTAGTCGATTGGATTGATCGTGCGATAGTCAAAGTCTGTCAGTGGTGTGATAGTAGTAGTAGTAGTAGTAGTAGTTTCGCCGGATGGGTAATTGTGGCCCGGCTGCTTTTTCTTCTTCTGAAAGTCCATGCATTAGCATTCTGTCCCGACAAGATATCGCCAATCGGAAAGTCCATGGCATGACAGATTGCTACGAGGTCCTACCAGTTCCTTGCGGTTGTTCTTCTCCGCCAAGCTCGGAGATACCATCATCCAAAAGGTCAGATAAGCTAGTACTCCAGTGGTGGCAAGCAGCCATGCGGCGGTAATGGAATTGACCCCCTTGGGGATCATCTCCATAAGGGCCTTGCCATAGTGATACTCGACCATTGCGGGCTCACAGTGAGATCCTAGAAAACAATTTGGAGTGCAGAAAGGAGGATGAAAGAGGGATATGCCCGTGTGTCTCGTTCTCAAAGCTGGCTCTATAGTCTGGTAGCCTTGCGAACTAGTGGTTTATATATTTCTTCGGATACCACTCTTCTCTGCCTCGCCATGAATCCGGATCAGACAACCCTCTGAGAGCACGGCATTCTGATGTATTAAAATGACCTTGAATCACGACGGCAAATCCATACAAGGGTTGAGTATTTATCGTACGTCATGTTTTGATTCTCTTTCCTCCTCCTTTTGTCTTCTTTCTTGTTCGCTCAAGTTTCGGGTGTATTTGCAATATTTTGGCTGGTTATCTTACTATACAGTAATAAAAACGCGATAAAAGTGAGACATGCAGCGCTCAAATTGTAATATAACTATATGCAGCTAGGGATCATTCAGTATGGGGTCCTCTTCATGGCCTGTACTAATTCAAAGTCGGAAGGTGGGGGAGACAATGTAACACTTGGGAGAGATGCTTGATAGAAAGCAGCCGTTACTTCGGCGCCTGACCGAATGAAGCTGTACGATTGGTAGAAAATGCAATATCAGATAACAATTTTTCTGAAAGGATGTCAGTACTTCCTTCACTATCCAGGTGATTTGGAGACGTGATGCCGTGCCAACCGAGAGGGCCATCAATACATGATGGGCTTTGTATCAGTCGAATGGTCGCGTATAGTCTGTCAACGAGTCGAGAGTGCGGTACGCCGCGTAAAAAATACCTTATACCCGGATCATAATGGTTAGTCAATCAGACCACGTTGAACAGCGGAGTTCTATCAAGGTAGGCCGACGAGGCTGGGTTGGATCCGACTAAGGGGGGAGCCATCCTGGACCCTCCCATCCAGTCACTTAGTTAAGAGACCTAGGGTCTCTATAAAGTGGAGCGTTTGAGCCGTTATAGTCCGTAGGGTCATTCATTTGGACAATTTCGACACATTGTACACGTTCAAGGACAGGATGCGCTCCGAACATACACACCACGCTGCTGCTTCTGCTCTGGCAGCAGCAATGATCGCCGAGCTGAGAACAGATGAAACATTCCTATCCCTACGCGTGCAGAAGGAATCTCTCTGCAATGCGTTACAAAGCCTGTTAATGGAGTACTCGGTCAGCCGTTCTCCGTGTATATTGCAATATGTGCTGGACATTCCCCCCGGACTCGACCTCATTCGATTAAAGGCCGCCTGGAATTGCGTGGTTGCATCTTGTGAGATCCTACGTACCAGAATATTCAGTACCGTTAAAGGCGCCATCCAGACTGTTGTGGAAGAAAGTTCGTCTTGGGATTATGACAACTCTCTGCCAGCATATCTGAGCAGGGACCTCAAATTACCCATGGGCTACGGTTCGCCCCTCTCGCGCTGGGGCATCATTGGAGAGCAGAAGGAAGCCACCGAGCGGTTTATGGTTCTGAGTCTTCATCAGTCTATCCATGACGACCGAACTGTGACTGTGCTCCTTGAACGACTATGTCGGGAATACGAGGCCTTAGGTGAGGGTGGAAGGGGTTTAAGGCGTCACGTTCCACAAATCTCTCTCGACGGCTCTGTTCAGCCATCGACGACAGATCAGGATGCGAAAAACGAATTGATCCCTGCCTGGTGGAAGGCAGAAGCAGTGCGTGACTCTCTCACTGGAGGTGTGGACTGGGTTTCACAGCAAGTTTGCGCATCTTCTGTAGTCGAGCACGAAGCGATGATCCCGGGGCTGAACATGTCAACTCCCCACTTTTCACAAGCGCTATATTCAGCATGGGCTATCGTTATCAGCACATATGCTCAAGCTTCGGATGTGACATTTGGAACTGTTGTCTCTCACCGTGATCAAAGCACCTATGATGGCGTGAGCGCTGAATCCACATCCCCAGAGATTGCCTTGCTGCCAGTACGGATTTCAGTTGAGCAAGCAGACACGACAATGCAACTCCTAGATCAAGTTAGCAAGATTGACTATAGTCACAAAAATGCCGAAATGCCCTGGACAGAGTCACTTGCTAGCCTAATCTGTATTCGAGACCCAGTTCCGAAGGCCTTTCGGTGTGGTGACCAAACCCTTAGTCTATTTCGCCCGACGACGCGCAAGTACCCATGTCCGCTGGTCCTGGAATGTCACGGAGGACAATACCTACGAGTTGTGGGACATTTTGATGAGTCCATCTTCACCACTCAGCGTGTGCGATGTCTACTGCAACAGTTTGTCCATGTTGTACGGCAACTGTCAATTTCCTCCCACTCGCCGAGGGTCCAGGACGTAGAAGTCCTGAGTCCCGAGGATAAGCAGCAGATTTGGGAATGGAATGGTCGGTCTATTCCATCCGTCAACCGCTGTCTTCACCATATCTTCGAGGAGGTTGCAGCGAGGCATCCCAATCGCATAGCAGTCAATGCATGGGATGGTGTACTCACCTACCAGCAGCTCAATGAGCAGTCAACTCGTCTCGCCCATCAATTGCAGAAAATCGGCGTCGGGCCTGAGATTATAGTTGCTTTATATCTTGATAAGTCCAAGCAGGTTCCAGTCTCCATCCTCGGGGTTCAAAAGGCCGGCGGCGCCTGCCTCACCTTCGACACTCAACAGCCTGTGAGCAGGTTAAGGTCGATTCTCAGCGATGGTGGAATTGGCATTATGCTTGCCGATAGGTCACATGTGTCACTGTGTGAAAGTTTGGTCCCCCGTGTTATATGCGTGGATGAAGAGGCGCTGAAATCTCTTCCACAATCTCTCACCCTAGGCGAGGGTGCACTGAGAACTGGGAGTGTTCAGCCCTTCAACAGGGCTTTTGTTTTGTATACGTCTGGGAGCACAGGGACTCCCAAGGGGATTGACGTGCCCCACTCGGCAATGTGCACTTCAACCTTAGCCTTCGCAAAAGCCTTCAATGTATCATCAGACTCGCGGATATTCCAGTATTCCAGCTATGGTTTCGATGTCAGTGCTGGGGATATGTTCCTGGCCGTGCTTCAGGGCGCGTGCCTCTGTATACCCTCGGAATATGACCGAGTGAACCAGCTAGAGCACTCCATTTGCCACTTGAAGGCTAACTGGTTATGCACAACACCTTCTGTCTTGGGGCTTCTAGACCCTGACAGTGTCCCTTGCCTGGAGACGCTGGCCATTGGGGGTGAAGCTCTGCCGAAGAACATCACTCTTCAATGGGCACCACGACTTCGATTTCACACCGGTTATGGGCCAAGCGAAACAGGGGTCATGACATCGGTCCTCGAAGTTAAGAATAACCAGCATCCATACTCCAATGTCGGACGTGCCATGGCTTGTCATCATTGGATTGTCTCCTCGGATGACTGCAATCGTTTGGCACCACTGGGGTGTCCCGGGGAGTTGGTCATTGAAGGCCCCACGGTTTCTCGGGGGTACCTAAATCGCCCCGAGCTAACAGCACGCGTCTTCCCCCGCCAGCCAGCTTGGTTTGATCGTCAGGTAGGCCCACTGCCATCTCGCTTTTACCGGACGGGTGACATTGCCAGGCACAATGACGATGGGACGCTCATCTTTCTAGGTCGTCGGGATTCTCAGATCAAATATCATGGTCAGAGAATTGAGCTCGGCGATATCGAGTTCAGCATCAACCAACATGAGCTGGTCAGGGAAGCGGTGGTGCTGTACCCATCAGATGGCCCATATGCTGGCAGACTAACGGCGGTTGTCGCACTGGATAAGGACCTCTTGTCGTCTCCTTCGTCTGATGAGGCTCCGCTTCTCATCGATCCAGGGATGCTACAGCGTCAACTTGAAGATGTTCGGACATCCACGCAAACGGAGCTGCCTCCCTACATGTGGCCAACTGAGTGGCTTCTCATGTCAAGGCCATTTTTGAACATGAATGGTAAACTGAATAGGAAGGAGATCTTGAACAGCGTGAAGAAGATGGCGCAGGAGGTCTCTCAGACCAAGCAGCAGCCTGCAGACGCTTCACACCCGTTGGCTCTTTCCCAGAGCCCCTTTATTGACGAGTCCGAGCATTTGAGCCAGGGTCAACAGGTGCTCCAGATGCAATGTAGTGCTATCTTGCAACTTCACCGTTCCAAGGTCCCAATGGAATCCACATTTGTTAGTCTTGGGGGCGACTCGCTCATGGCAATCCAACTAGTCACAGCCTGTCGGAAGAAGGGTGTCGAAATCGATGTCCGAGATATTCTCAGGGGTGTTAGGCTGAGGGACGTTCCCTGTAGCGCACCTGAGCTTTCAAGGGCGGTTTCACTCGCACCGCAGCAGCCTGGGGCCCACGCAGAAAGCTGCGCACAAGGAATTGACATGTTCGATGCGTTCGGTCTTAGCCCCCAGAGTGTCTCCAGAATCAGTGGCATTCCAAGTCATGATATACAGGCCATCTACCCTTGCCTGTCCATGCAACGGGGCATTCTCACGAGTCAGTCTCGCGACCAGACTTTATATCAGACAGCACACGTATTTGAGATTACGGGTTGTGCAAATCAGGGAACTATGTGGGATATGCAGAAGATCATCTCCGCCTGGCGCGTGGTTATCGAGAGGCATGATGCGCTCAGGGCTGTCTTCTTGGAATTGCCAACTCACACAGAGCCTTTTGCTCAGGTCATCCTACGTCATCCAGTGGTCCAAGTTACACAGCATTCCAGTAAACACGAGATACTAAGCTTGCCAGGGGAACCATTTTCTGACTTCGAACCGCCGCATAGGCTTCGCTTAGCACCCGCTGGAAAAGACGCCTTTGTCTGTAAATTGGAAATGAGCCATGCAATAACGGATGGCAGTTCGATGGATCTGATATTCCGGGATCTTGTCCGGGTCTGTGCTGCGTCAAATCCTCTTCCAGAATCCATCTCCAAGACAAGCTATGGCGACTATATCCGCTATCTTCGCAACCAGGATAGGGATGCTGGCTTGGAATACTGGATGAAGTATCTTGAGGGAACAGACACTTGCCACCTTAAATTGCCGACCTTGAACCACTCCTCTGCACCCCCGAGACTGCAATCGTACAGCATTGATATTCCAATTGAGCAGTCAACCCTGGTCGAGTTGAGGCGGCGGAGCCTGACTATTGCAGATCTTCTCCAGCTGACTTGGGCAATTGTCCTGAGATTATATACCGACCAACGCGAAGCATGCTTTGGATATATATCCTCGGGCAGAGCAGTGCCAGTGGATGACATTCGTGACGCTGTGGGGCCATTCATTAACCTGATAACTTGTCGACTGGCTGTTGATTATGAGCAAACCCCTGCTCAGCTAATTTTAACACAGAAAGATGGCTTTATCTCAAGTATCCCCCATCAGCACGTCTCCTTGGGAGATATTTGGCATGCCGTCGGCAAATCTGGAGTGGGCCCCTTCAACACCCTGATATCCATCCTCAATGCAACAGGCCCAGAACTCGGCATTGAGACGAAGATGACTTTTAAGAGCTTGGAGGTCTACGACCCAACTGAGGTTAGTCACCCGTTGCCTTGATCCTGTCTTGCGCGCAAGATCAGTACGCCAATAAGGAAGACGCTCACGTATCTGAATGCAGTACGACTTGACGGTGACATCGTATCTTTCTCCGGGGCTTGCAACAGTGCGCTTCGACTACTGGAATGACAAGGCCTCCAGTGATTCAATAACTAGACTCGCGCACACATTTCGCCACGTCTTTCAGACGGCCGGCTCGACGCTCGATTCACCACTCAAGTCATTGAGCTTGATTAGCGACATGGATTTTCGACAGATCAATGACTGGAACAGCAACACTCCCCTGGCCGTGGAGAAATGTATTCACGAGGTCATATCTTCACGTTCTTCAACAGCGCCGCAAAGTCCAGCCGTGTGTTCCTGGGATGGGGAGCTAACCTATAGGGAAATGGACGCCATTTCGGACACGTTTGCCCACTCTTTAAGAAGTATGGGTGTGCGAGAAGAGGTTGCAATTCCTCTATGCTTCCCCAAGTCTTTCTGGGCCGTTGTGGCAATGATCGCCATTCTCAAAGCAGGGGGTGCAATTGTTCCCCTTGATCCGTCCCATCCCATCTCGCGACGGTTGGAAATATGTCGTCAGGTCAAGGCGCAAATAATTCTGGTTCCGAGTGATCACAGTATACAAGAAGAGTGGTCTGAGTCACAGCTACGCATGGTGGAGATCTCACATCTCCGATACCAACAACTACTGACAGAGAAGCCCACTAGGGCAGGTAGTCTTCAAATTGAAGATATTCCCCGAAGTTCGCCAGCCCACAGCGCATATATTGTCTTCACCTCGGGTACTACAGGAATCCCCAAGGGCATCGTCACGGAGCATGGGGCATTCTGCTCCGGGGTGGCAGCTCGAGCGCAGGCGATCATGCGGTCCTCCAAGACTCGAATTCTCCAATTCGCCTCTTTTGCCTTTGACACCTGTTTAGAAGATATCTTGACCACACTAATGCAAGGCGGATGCGTCTGTGTCCCTTCGGAGCAAGAGCGTTTGAGTGACCTTCCAGGAGCAATACGACGGATGAATGTGAATACGGCGGAACTGACTCCCTCAGTAGCCAGGCTGCTCCAACCCAAGGATGTTCCGTCGTTAAAGACAATGATCTTGGGCGGAGAACAGGTGACTGCAGACCTCATCATGCAATGGTCTGAGGCTGTCACCTTGATCAATTCTTATGGACCGGCGGAGTGCTCCGTGACCAGTGTGGTCTCTCCTCCAGCGCTGGAGGCAAAAGATCACCATGCGAGCAACATTGGACTCGGGGTTGGAGCATTGACATGGGTTGTGGACAGCCAAAATCCCAACCAGCTAGTCCCGATAGGTGCTGTGGGCGAGCTGCTGCTTGAAGGACCAGTTCTGGCCAGGGGCTATCACGATAGGCAGGATCTGACCGAGGCCAATTTCATCACCGATCCTGCATGGTCAAGGCAGTCGCAGCCGCGTTCTCCCCGACGATTCTATAGAACGGGGGACCTGGTGCAGTATGCTCCTGACGGAACCCTGGTTTGCCTTGGGCGCCGAGACGATCAGATCAAACTTCACGGTCAGCGCATCGAACTGGATGAGATCGATTCTTGCCTCCAGTTGCATTGTCCGTGGAAAGGAAGTGTTGCCTCTTGTTTGGCATTGAGTCCAGCAGACCCTGAGAGACGACTTATTGTTGCCTTCTTCTCAATGTCCCAGCAACCATGGCAGACCGAGACGGACTTTAAAGTACTGCCGCTCTCTGGCAGTATACGCGAGGAAATCATCAACCTGCAGATGCAGGTCGCATCCTCTCTCCCGATATACATGCGACCAAGCCTTTATATCCCTGCAAGCAGGATTCCCACCAGCACCGCTGGCAAAAAAGACCGCGCCACTTTGGCCAAGGCAGTACAGACGCTGTCAGAGTCGCAATACCTGGACTACTCGCTCACCTCTGCATCAGGTCACCATCAGTCTGAGACGCCTGAGCAGCGCATGCTTCAATCGCTATGGTCTCAGTTGCTCAAACTCCCACCCCAGCGAATTGGGATACATGATGACTTTTTTCAGATTGGGGGCGATTCTATCCTGGCGATGAAGCTGTCCTCTCTGGTTGGAAAGCGTGAAACTGTGCTCAGTGTTGCGGATGTCTTCCGTTATCCCATACTACGCGAGATGGCAGTCAGACTCACCGAGATATCACACTCTCATCCGCCGCCTACTTCATCAGAAGTAGTAGAGCCTTTCTCGCTGCTGCCATGTAGTTGGCCTGACGAGGTTCTGGAGAAGGAAATCGTCACCGCCTGCCAGGTTCCTAGAGACAATATCGAAGATGTTTATCCTTGCTCAGCAGTCCAGGAGGGCCTGATGGCATTGTCAATGCGGCAGGAAAATGCTTATATTGCTCGTCTGGTTTATAGCATCCCACCCGGCACATCTCTGGCGCGTCTGCAGTGCGCATGGCAGCTGGTGGCCTCGCAGCACTCACTACTAAGGACACGAATCATGCTTTCTCGCCGATTAGGGACACTTCAAGTTGTTCTGAGAGCAGACGACGCTGACAAAGACACGGTTTCATGGAAGGATACATATTATAGTGACTTGCAGTCGTTCCTCGAGGAGGACAAAGGAGTTCCTATGACATATGGCTCAGCCCTGTCGCGATGTGCCATCGTGACCACACCAGACCAAGCCAATTTCTTTGTTTGGACGGTGCATCACGCCCTGTACGATGGCTGGCTGCTTCCTACCATAATGCAAAGAGCAGCAGAAGCGTACCGTGCCCCAGAAAGTGCAGCTGCATGGTCCATCGTCCCCTTCCGTTGCTTTATTGCATATCTCGAGACCAGAGACCGGTCCGCCTCGGACGGCTACTGGACTAATCAGTTAAAAGGGTTCAGGCAGGTTGAATTCCCAGCAGGGAATATGGGATCAAAGAAGGAACGCCGTGATATGTCAAAGGTATACCACCGCGTACGTCTCGGGAGACGCCCGAGTCGCCAATTTACTACTGCAGTCATCCTTCGCGCCGCCTGGGCCTTTTTGATAAGCAAATACTCTGAGTCCGACGATATCAGCTTCGGAGTTACCTTAAGCGGACGAACAGCGCCAGTGGAAGGAATTGCCAGCATAGCGGGGCCTACATTGACGACGGTTCCAGTCCGTGTTCGGATCGACAGTGAGCAATCTGTGGTGGAATTCCTTCGGAATATGCAATCACAGGCCATGGAGATGATGCCACATGAGCATACTGGCCTTCAGAGGATTCGAAAGCTAAGCCAAGGCTGTCTGGAGGCATGCGACTTTCAGAACCTGCTCGTGATACAGCCAGCGGATGAGATGACCGAGTCGACCGCAGAACAAAGTGTTTTCGGGCAGCCGGTTGACGAGGCTGCCGCCAATTCCCATTTTCACACCTATCCCCTGGTGTTGTCATGCACATTTTCTGAACATGAGGTGGACCTTGAAGTCATCTTCGATCCGACAACCATCTCACCGGCGCAGGCCGAGCGCCTGGCGCTCCACTTCGATGCCATATTCCAGACCTTTTGGTTGTCCGACAAAGGCGTAACGGTCGGACAGGTAGAGATGATCACCAAGCAGGACCAAGAGCAAATTCAAACATGGAACAAGGAGCAGCCGCAACTCCAGCCTCGCCTGGTGCATGAGGTGATCGAAGAGCAGGTGCTTCTTCACCCAGATTCCGAAGCCGTGTATGCATGGGATGGCTCCCTCACATACCGTGATCTTCATCGATACTCCTACCAATTAGCACGGACGTTGCAAATGAAGTATCATGTTGGACCCGAGCGATTGGTACCAGTACTTTTCGAGAAATCGGTCTGGGCAGTAGTGGCCATGCTGGGAGTCATGATGGCCGGGGGTGGGTTTGTTCCTCTGGATGTCTCCCATCCGCTAGACCGAATGAACGACATTGTTGCGCAGTGCAACGCGGACTTGGCTTTAGTCTCGTCAGAAACCTCAGGGACCCCTCTGTGTACGGCTTCTAAACTGATAGTCTCAGAGAACATGTTCCGGGGCCTGGACGCTGGAGGACATGAGACTAACCAATATAGCACCAAAATCCCCGATGTCAGGCCGGCCCACTACTTTCCCGGCCTACAGCCACAATTCCTAGACACATCCAAGCAGGAGCCCGGAGACCAGACATCCGAACGTACAGGCTCACCTCGAGACTCATCGCCGCGCACACCGGTCTCGTTCTCTTGGCACTCGGCAGGACCGGAGACGCCACTTGCCTTCGATATGTTGACTCCCGGAAGCAATATGTCGGGAAGGGCAGCTCAACCGGACGACAGCGATCTGACTGAAAGTAATCGTGTCCAGCCACAGAACGTCGTTTATGTCATCTTTACCTCCGGCAGTACTGGAAAACCAAAGGGTGTAGTCATCCAACACGATCAATTCTGCTCGGGCGTGTTGGGGCCCCGGCAAGAAGCCCTTCTCCGCTCGGAGCAGAGTCGGGTGCTTCAATTTGCGTCCTTCAGCTTTGATACCAGCTTGGAGGATATTATCACGACTCTGTTCTTTGGTGGATGCGTCTGCATTCCCTCGGAGAATGATCGCATGAATGATATTGCTGGGTTCATCAACAAATCCAGGGTCAACACCGCCCACATCACGCCATCTTTCGCGAATACCCTTTCACCCCAGTTGGTCCCAGGCCTGAAGTACCTGCGTCTCGGTGGAGAAAGGATGACGCCGACTCTTGTGGATAAATGGGCGCCGGCTCTCGAGCTGAGGAATGTCTACGGTCCCACCGAGACCTGCATCACGGCCACATGTAGTGGAACGGTTACCACGGCTTCAGACCCCATTGATATCGGTCGTGGGGTCGCGGCTCTCACTTGGATTGTGAACCCGGATAACCATCATCAACTCACCCCCGTCGGCCTAGTGGGAGAACTACTCGTGGAGGGCCCTCTGTTGGCCCGGGGCTACCTCGGAGATATCAACAAAACAAACGCATCCTTCATCACTGATCCGACTTGGGCACGTACCCCAGAGAGTCCAAAGAGCCCTCGCCGATTCTACAAGACGGGCGATCTTGTGCGGTACAGCGAGGTAGGAACCCTTCTCTACATTGGCCGCAAAGACACACAGGTCAAGATCTATGGGCAACGGATCGAAATCGGCGAGATTGAGGATCACCTGAAAAAGGCCCTTCTACCCCAGACGATTGAGATGGCCGTCGAGGTGACCAGCCTACAGGCTGATGCTCTCCAGCGCAAAGTGCTCGTTGCGTTCCTCTGTCTAGACGATTCATTTAACAAGGATGGCGCTGTTCTGATGTCCTTGACGCCGGCCGTGAAGAAACGAGTCCAGGAGCTTACCTCTAAACTCGTTCTTGGCCTGTCTAAGACGCTCCCAGCCTATATGATTCCTTCACGCTATGTGCCTCTCCGCTCCATGCCACGAACACTGGCTGGCAAGGCAGACCGGCGTAAGCTGCAGCACCTTCTCAACTCGATGAGCACCGAAGACCTCTTAGCGTACTCGCTCGAGGGTGGGGAGAAGCAGCCGGTAGAATCCGAAACCGAGTTCCAGCTCCAGAAACTCTGGGCCGAAGTTCTGAGCGTTGATACGATGATGATCGGGAGCCACGACAACTTTTTCCGTCTTGGGGGAGACTCAATCACGGCCATAAGGCTTGCGGCCGCGCTCCGTGATGAAGGTATGTTTCTGACTGTTGGAGACATTTTCAATCACCCTGAATTACGCCACATGGCCGCCCAGATTGATGCTCAGGGCCAGGGCACAAAGCAGGTGCCAGGAGCAACGCCAGGGGCTCACGAGGATCTGCACCCATTTGGACTTTTGGCCCCCTCGCCGGCTTTGCTCTTCGATCTGTCAAAAGTCTGGGATATTCCAGAGGACACGGTTCAGGATGTCTACCCCTGCACGCCCCTCCAGATTGAAATGCTAGCTGCTGAGGGGCGCCACAGTCAATCAACTTACGGCTCACAGGCTGCCTATGACCTACCGCTAGGTATTGACCTGGATCGCTTCAAACACGCTGTCGAGACTGTATTTCGCCACAACGATATCCTGCGAACCCGAATTGTCTATCTCGAGCCTCATGGCACCGTGCAAGTGGTCACAGAAGACGGAGGACCACGATGGGAGTACGGAGATGACATTGACCAGCTTCTTACACAAGGGTATTCGTTTGGCCTGGGCACCTCTTTGGTTCGGGTCGCTCTGTGCCCGTATAGTCATGAATCCGCGGGATGGACCTTTTGCTTGACCATGCATCATTCGCTCTATGACGGTTGGAGTCTCTCTCTTATCCTTCAGCAAGTCAATGAGGTGTACCAATCTGGCTCCCTGTCATTTCAACGCCCCAAGCCTCGCTTCAGAGACTTTATCGGTCATCTGGGAAGCTTGGATCCAGACCTCAGCAGCCAATATTGGGCATCCATCTTGTCCCAATCTTCTGGCTCCTCTGACCTCCCATCGCAGAACGGTACCGTCGAGGAGCTAGATTCTGTAGAGGAATATCACTGCAACATGCCAGGTTTCGAGCAGGGGGGCTCGAGGCTTGAAGTGACGCCCGCCATAGTTCTCCGAGCCGCGTGGGCCCTGATCATCACAGCCTATACTGGGAACAGCGATGTTCGCTTCGGACTCTCTGTGGCGGGGCGAAATGTGCCTGTTAAAGACATTGACCAAATGGTGGGGCCAACCTTGGCCACAATTCCCTGCCGATTGCAAATCAATCAGGACTGGACTGTTGAACACTTCCTCAACCATGTTAATCAAACCATGATTGCTGCCATTCCCCACGAGCACTTTGGGCTCCAGCGAATCGCGAAGTTGGGACCCGATTGCTCTCGCTGCTGCGATTTCAACAGTCTCCTGGTTGTTCAGCCGCAGATACCGGCGAAGACGCTGGGAATCTTCGCCTCTTCCCAGAGCCCGAACTCCATATCTCGAGGCAACGACCAGCCATATCCCGTGGTGGTGGAGTGCGACATGCAGGAGTCAGGAGGATGGAAGGTGCACGTATTCTACCGGAAAGCATTCATCTCTGTCTCATCGCTGCAGCGCATCGTCTACCTTATGCAGCACTTGGTGGAGCAACTCTACCTATCCCCTAATATGCGTCTTGCCGACCTGTCTCTGGTCAGCTCTACGGACTTGGGCCTCGTTGCCAGCTGGAATTGCTCTGTTCCTGCGCCTGTCGACACCACTATGATTGAGATGCTTTATAACTCCACGAAGCAGCACGCTGATCTTCCTGCCATACATGCGTGGGATGACGCTCTCACATACAGTCAGCTTTTGGAGCAATTTCAACGGCTCAGTCACTATTTGCGACTGTGTGGGGTCCAGCGCGGCTCCTTCGTCCCCGTCGTGATGCCGAAGTCGGCGCTCTATATCATCAGCGTGCTGGCGGTGATCTCCGAAGGCGCGGCTTTTGTCCCAATCGACGCGACGAGCACTCCCCGAGATAGGATGATGAAGATACTCGAGCAGTGTAATGCGACTGTGGTGATAGCATCCACCGCGAGTGCGAATGATATTCTCGAATCAGGACGACTTCGGGTGTTACGCATTTCCCATCAACTTCTGCGTCGCCTGCTAGATGGACCACCTGCAGGGCTGAGCAGAGCCGGAGCCGATGATCCTCTCTATTGCATTTTCACATCAGGGACGACTGGCTCACCAAAAGGAGTGGTCGTAACTCATGGGGCGTATGCCTCTTCGACCGCAGCCAAGCAGGAGGCCTATGAGCTGGATGAGACCACCCGTGTCCTGCAATTTTCGTCCAATGCGTTCGATGCTAGCATTGACGATATTTTCATCTCCCTCCTAAGTGGCAGCTGTCTCTGCGTGCCGTCGGAAGCGGAGCGCCGTGACAACCTGTCGCAGTTCATTGTGGACACGCAGGTCAACTATGCCGCTATGACCCCTACGGTGGCCCGGACTCTGGATGTGCAGAAAGTCTCTCAATGCCTCACCAAACTTCGACTGGGAGGTGAGAAACTGACAAGTGCTGACCTTACGGACTGGGTACGTGTAGGGGTCAACCTGAAAAGTCTCTACGGACCGACCGAGTCCTGTGTCTGTTGCTCGGCCTCTCCCTCATTGCTGCCTGAAAAGACCCATCCAGCCAATATTGGACGGGGTCTGGCGTGTCGCACTTGGATCGTGGATGTACACAATCCCGACCGTCTGGCTCCCATCGGTGCCGTTGGCGAACTCGTCATCGAAGGACCAGCACTCGCGAAGCAATACTTGCATGACCTGGAGAGAACCTCACGGGCATTCATCAACCTGCCTCTCTGGCTGCCGAGCATAGGGGGCAGTTCACCATCCAAATCGAAGGGCTACAGGACCGGAGATATGGTCCGCTATAGTGAGGATGGAAGCTTGATCTACGTTGGGCGCAAAGATACTCAGGTCAAGCTGAGAGGGATGCGACTGGAGCTCGAGGAGGTGCAGCACGCGCTGAGAGACCTCAATCTGCCCGGTTTTCAAGACCTTGTGGTCGACGTTATTCCTCAATCCATAGCGCCTGACATTCTGGCGGCAGATATCCTGATGCTTGCCATATTTTCAAATCAACACCGCGGCGAAGAGCATCATCTTGATGCTATCCGGGCCAGTCTCACAAACCGGCTTCCTGACTACATGATTCCGACGCATCTCCTGCTTCTCGACAGTCTCCCAACATCTTCTTCAGGCAAGACAGACCGGCTGGAGGTGCGTCGTCTTGCCGTGGAGCAGCTCCGTCAACAGAAACAACAGCAGCAGCAATGCTCGAACCCTGATGACAGGGGGAAGATGGGTTCCCAAAGGGTGGAAGTACCAATGGATACTTTCCGTACGCTGCAATCCATATGGGCCGATATCCTGCAACATGATCTGTTGTCCATTGGACCAAATGCGAACTTCTTTCACCTGGGGGGTGATTCGATTCTAGTAATGCGCCTGGTTGCGAATGCCCGAGCCCATTCCATTGATATCAGTTCTGCAGACGTTCATAAACTCCAGACCTTGTCGGCCATTGTTGCAAAGGCCAGGTTACGAATTCTTCCTCCACATCAGTCCACCTCGCCAGCAGATGACATCGATGTTACTTCTAGTCAGGTTACGCCGGATCTCCGCCTTGTCTCGCTAGAACTGGGAATCCCCGAAGGAGACATTGAAAAGGTCCACAAGGCGACCGACTTCCAATCCTACTGTCTGGCACAGACTTTATCTCCATCCCGTGGCTGGCTGAACTTTTTCTCCTATGACCTCCACGGCAGCATCAATGTGAAGCAATTGGAATATGCCTGCCATGCCTTGGTGCAACGGCACGAAGTTCTGCGTGCTCGTTTCGTTGCCCTCCACGGTTCTGTCCAGCAAGTGATTCCCCGATATCGAGCAGAAGATGTCCACTTCCAGGTACATGAAGGGCTTAGTAAGATGCACAGTCTCGGTCTCTTGGCCAGTCTAGTTCACAATGATCCTGCTCCCTCCTTGAATGATGTTCTGGTCCGTTTCGTACTTCATATCATCCACCCAGGCCGCATTCGTCTCACGATGCGGATCTCTCATGCCCAATATGACGGGCTCAGCATGCCTATCATTCTCAAGGACCTGGACACATTATACAACGGGATTGCCTTGGCTCCTCCGGCCCGGTTCTCGGAGTACGTGGAGGAAAGTGAGCGACTGCTTTCCCAGAACGAGCACGCCCAGCAGTTCTGGTGTCAACTGCTGCAAGGATCACAAGTCACCCCCATCGTGGTACGCAGCAAGCTCTCCTTGCACTCGTTACAGAAAGACTATCCCCTGGATCAGACCACGATTCGGACTATTCGACTGTCACGATCAGCTTTCGGCGCCTCCATCACCCCAGCCACGATCATCAAGGCCGCCTGGGCACTCGTGCTCGGCCGTCTCTCGCAACATCAGGACGTGGTCTTCGGCCACTTGACCAGCACTCGGCCCAGCTTGGATCATCTGCCAGCTATTCATGAGGTCGTCGGTCCCTGTCTCAATGTGCTTCCTGTGCGTGTCCAGCTCCATCCCACTACCGAACGAAGGGAGCTGCTGGATGCGATTCAACAGCAATATATCGACGCCTTGCCCCATTCCATGTTGGGCTTCCGCAGGATCATCGATCACTGCACACAATGGCCGCCATCAACCCGATTGAGCTCTATCCTACAATACCAAAACCTGCACCAGGACCTGGACAGTGTTCTCCTTGGCGGGGCTACAGGGAGTCTTGAAGCTTATGTACCTGTCTCTGACGCCGCCGACCTATGGATGATGGTAACTCCAACGAACGATTGTGGTGCAGAGAGACTGCATGAGATCAAACTAAGCTACAGCGCCGCAACTATTCCCCCTTCCATTGCAGATCGCATTCTCGACGAATTTGACGATGCAATTTTGTTCCTCCAGACGCCTCACGCCTCCGATGACGGAATCCGATTACACACTTACTTCGACCAGACCGCGCCCGAGTTCCCACCCACCCTTCCGATTGACAGGCAACTCGCGGAAACCGACTTGCCGCCCCGCCCCGCGATCATCGCCGCAGTCAAAGCCATATGGGAGCAGGTGTTCGGCCCGCATGTCCATCGCGAGAAGACCAAGGCGCGCAAGGAGGAGTGCCGGGCGATGCTGCACACCCCCTTTGGGCCAGATCCAGTGAGCGCCGCGCAGCTGTCGCTGCTCTTCCAGCAGGCTGGGGTGGAAATCTCGCCGGCAGAGGCGGCTGAGTATCCGACCATCTTCCAGCAGAGCTTGCTTTGGGGCTACAAGATGCGAGAGGGGAGTCGCTGATTTAACTTTAGGGTAGTTAGCGACTTGAATTGAATTGATGATTTTGTGATTCTTCGCGGTCTCGTTCTGTGTATGCGTGTGTATGTAGGCTTCGCTTGTTGAAACGTTGTGGGTTAGGGCACGATCCTGGATTCCTATTCGCTTTATATTGAAGGGGCTCTACTGAATCCATCGACTGCTGCCACTCCCTGTGTCTGCTCCATGCTAGTCCCTCAGTTAGCAACCTTCTTCCTCTTGCGGTCGGGCTGCTTCTGCTCGTCCACCCCGTTCTCCTCCTCTACCTTCTCCATTGCGCGGCTCGAATTCTTCCCCCTCGGCACCTTTCGACCCACGACGCTGATCTCCATCTCGTCCTACAGGTTCGCGCGGTCAGACACAGAGTCCAAAATTAAGACAGGTAAGAAATAAAGACCCACCGCGAGATCCCCGGGCACAATCAATCCCGGCAAGCCCCAACTCTGGCGGAGGCGCGGGTTCTTGCGCATGTAATCGCGATAGGCCGGCGCCCCGGGGCGCATCACATTGTCGGCGATGACCAGCGCGCCGTCCGTCTTCAACAGCCCCAATTCCTCGGCCACCTGAACATCTGCCGCGTAGAGTGCCTCATCGTGGTCCATGAACAGCAGGTCAATGCCCCGGTCGCCGAGGGTTCCTTGCTCATGAAACCGCCGCAGGGTGTGGGCCGAGGCGCCGACGACGACCTCGACTAGGTCCTGCAGGCCGGCGAGGCTGACGAGGTTCATGGCGACGGAGGCGACCAGGGGGTCGATCTCGATGCTGTAGAGCCTGGGGGGCTGGTGCTCCCCGTTATCCTCGCCCGCCTCAATCTCCGCGTTGTCCGGGTTCTGCGTCCAGATTTCCTTCAGGATGCTCCCAAATAGGATGGCAGAGTACCTATTCAGCAAGGCCACCCGCCACCCCAATTAGCAAGCTCTCTTCTTGGTGACAAGCAAGCGACTCGCAACTTACTTACCCAACATATCCCCCCAACTCCACCACCACCCTGGGTCGGTGCTCCCGCACCAAGACGGCCAGCTTGCCCGCTTTGTCCGGACCAATGTTGATTAGAAAGTCCTCCTGGGCGGCGAACTCGTCCATCACCGCCAGAATGGCGGCCGGAGAGCCCCTCAGTTTGGTGTTCAGCTCGGGATGGGCGTAGATGTGCTTGAGGAGGGTGATCTCGCGCCCGTCATGGGACTCAACGATCTCCGACTCCTCCAGGCCCGCCATCTTGCGGAGGGAGGGGTATTTGGTGAAGATGGGGGGTTCTTCGGTGTCTGGCATTCTTGCGGCACTTGGGGGAAATTGGGTAAGGGTAAAGGATTTAGAACGAATAGTGGATGAGAAGAGAGGGGGAGGGTTGGGGGGGGTTCTTATCTATTTGGGGGGAGATTAATCAATTGAGGTGGTATGATATGGTAACTGTGCTGTTATCTATTCTGTACTGTACGGTAAGGTTTTGTTCTGTAATTTGCTTACATACAGGATTGAAACATCTTTTTACAAAATCTCCAATACTAGTCCTATTCCTGTATGGACCATGTACTGTACAGTATGCACCGTATAGAGTCTATCTATATTCTGCATTCTCACCTCGGCCCTACATGACCCCGCATTGCGCATTGAGTTTGGACGAAGTTTCTATCACCCGAGCAGTGGTGATCTCCCTGGCACGCAGTTGAACATTGGACTCGCGGACATGCTTCCGCTGCCAGGCCAGATATTTCTCATGATGCCGAATGCACCCGACTACATGCAGGTTGTTGGTTCCTCTGGTTCCTTTAAACTTGTAGAGAAACATCCCGTCCACGATCCGGTCTGGGGCGTCATCGTCGCGCGACTCGCGAAAACAGCGTATCACCGGGCCACACTCTGGGCCCCGCTGGACGATGCCATAGAAAGGAGACGCGTCGGGATATTGGGCCCGGAGCAGCTGGAAGGCCTCGTGGAGGCGTTCCTGCCCGCGCTGCCAGTCTTTGTCCCGCGGGGATGTTATTTGGATAATCTGGCGCTTTGGTGCGAGATTGATGAGTCCTATATGCGGGAGCGCCATGGTGGGTGCAGCAGATCGTATCGTATGATGATGATGAGGCAGATGATGTGGTAGGAGGAATCTTGCTGTGGAATCCTCCAATTTATAAACACTTATCCGGTTGGCATGCTTCCGGGCGGTATTGCTTCATCGTTCGGGAGTCTGGTGATTTTCAGGATACTACAGGCACGCGAGCATGGTGTCTAGACTATGAAAGCGATTGCCTTTCTGTCGACTCCCTTTGTACTTGTGGCATGTCTTTATTTCTATGTCTACTTCGACAAAGTATCTGGTTCGCTCACAAGCGGGTGGAATTGCTGGGCCATAAGTGAGCAATTCGCTTCGATAAAGAATCTATGCCGCGACAAAGACTGCCTAGTGTGCCTGAATGAACCAGAAACAAAGGCTTTTTGACGCGAAATCAGGCACCAAGGCTATTTCAAAGGGACATGTATGCCTCACAGTGCAAGTGTCGGTGAAGAGACTGGTTAGGCTTTCTCAGAAAAATGTAGGAAAATTTGAGGTTGGGCTTCTGATCAGTCGTAGACTTTTGGCCCCCTGATATAACCCCGAGCGGTGGCTGGCTCGCTTTGCTAGGCGCTTGTAACATGACGGGTGAATGGAGAGGCCGAGGCTGGCTCTAAGCCAAGGAATCTTATAGGTTGCGATATTGGCGCCGGTAGGAGACAGGGTAAACCAAATATGAACTGATAGCCAATGTGACAAAGGAAGCATGTTTAGCTGAAATATCAGAGTAGCCACGAGTCCTCGAGCAGCTGCTTCGCCGTCTTTCGCTCTTCTGGTAGCCACTTCAGCATTGACATCATGAATTGGATGAACTCCACCTTCTCTTCTCCTGCAAGTCGCTTTTCTAGGCTCCCTAAGGAGATCATTGGTACAACTGTTTCTTCATGGGCAACCCAGGCGCCTGGCAACATGTCAGGTGGACAACTTCAATTGGGACCGCAAGCCTAGAAGGGACTTACCATCAGGGTCAAAACACTGTTCGGTCGTTTCACTGCGGCGAATAAATCCCACCGGCGGTGGCCCGATCAAGGCGACCATGCGTGCCAGATGCTTGAACGGGTCGTGGCCGCCTTTGGCATCGAAAATATCATCGAACAAATACTCCCCTTCGAAAAGGTCCCAGATCTGTCAACTGACATCAGCGCGCTGGACGATAGACACTGATAGCTGTATACCTGGGCCCGCACTTACCAAGCCTGCCAGGTTCCAGATATCGGCGGCGCTTCCCCAGGGCAATTCGAAGATGATCTCTGGCGCCCGATAGATGTGCGGCTGAATAAAGGGCCTAGACTCCTGCTGGATCCCAATCCGTGCCTCACCAAAATCGCACAGGATTGGGAGCCCATAACTCTTACATGCAGACGGTCGACGGAATCGCCGACTCTGGTAGATGATACGAGACTCATCAATCTGCTTTCGAGGGCTGGGATCCTCGGCTTCGGCTTTCGCAAAGTCCGCCAGCATGCCGTCGTCCTCGGAACTAAGCATCAGGTTGTCCGTCTTGATATCTGATATGAGTTAGAAACAGGTAGTCTTCCTTCGAACCGGGGGTGAGGGGATTTATCGAGGTGCAATACATACCGGTGTGGATGACGTTGGCTTCGGTGTGAAAGAAGTCCAAAGCTAGAAGCAGACGCTTCACCGTCATTTTGACAAGAGGCAGATTAAATGGCCTGGAATTGAGCCCCATCGTCTCTAACAGGGTCATATGCATTGGCTATAGCACTAAGCAGCGGTGTTGCCCAGCAGGTCCGTGTAGGTCGAAAGAATCATAAAGCTCGCGGATCAGCGCTTGACCTGGATGCGTAGAATTGACTCTGGCTAGATGCTCATAGATCTTAAGCTCGCGACCTGATGCGGTCGAGTTGATGGCAGCGATGTAGATACCTTCAACACTCTATACTGGTCGTTCCTTGATGTATATTGACTTGTTAATTCCATGCGCGCTCACTGGGAGAAGGGTCGTTCGTCGGAACACACTGGAGATCCCGGCATAGCCAACTTGTAGAATACGCCCCATAACCGAGTTTTCCCGTAACCTGATACCGGGTCTCGTATATGTCGCCAATTTTAACGGGGTAGTAATGCTCGGGTTTATAAAAGGGCAACGTCTCCTCTTCAATGGGCGTGTCAAGAGGCAGAGTAGTATATGAGATCTTGGATATCATTCGTGATGAAGATGGTGATAACGATGATAGCCTTTGTCGGAGGGTGCTGCTCCATGTGCTAAATCGTCCTGCCATATCTAAATGAAAATTTTGTCCAATAAGCTAGCGATTTTGTCGAGGATTGAGTGATTGAGAGAATGGAAGTGGATATTGGTGCCATCCTTAATAAGTTCATAAGGGAGAGACAGGAGTGTAGATCAAGTAAGTTGGCTAGCTTATCGTCACGTGGAGCGTGCTCCTTCCTAGGAACGGTCCGTATATCCCTTTAGTACAGTACACACTCCGTCGATTGACCCGCAAAATGTGGAGGTGCTCAGCCAGCCGTCGTACAGGAGTTATCAGTCTGAAGAAGCATCTTCACTTCAGCACACGTGTTGTTAGCAGCCAGGATTTCCAGACGTCTGCAAGGATTAGATTGCCCAGTGATCAGTGGAGGGGATATATTTGCTTCCTACTTTCCAGGCAGTTTCAGTAAATAACATAAGTGACGTTTCTTAATCGACTCCGGGTTATTGATGCATGACTGTGAGACACATTAGCAGCATATAAGAATACCCTATAAGAATACCCTTAATAATGGTGAAAGGAGAAAACAACTTAAGTGGTGACTGCTGATGGCTTATGTTGTGCATCACTGCATAACTGACTTAGTCATAGCATGACGCAAGCACCCAGATACGGTCGGTCAGTCGGTCGGTGGGCCGCAAGCCAGCAGGCAGCAACAAAATACGGTTACAGAGCTATGCAATATTTGAAGGGAATAAGATAATAAGAAATAGCCATCATACAGGCTCTCCGTTAATAGTGATTAAGGTTTTCACGCTAGTTTACAGTATAACTCTTCAACGGCGCTTGCCCAAAAGCGAAGACGTCAACGTCTTGCTGGCGCTACCTGAACTCCATGAACTCCGTGGACCCCGTTGATGTAGAAGTTTCCCATGATGATGATGATGATGCCTGCGCCGTCCATGCTGCGCGGATTTCAAACCCTTCAAGATTCGTTTGCGTCGTCCCGGCTTTTCGAGTAAATCTATCGTCCAAGCTAGGGTTAATAAAGACTCCCAGCTCCAGTGAGCTTCGCCGACACCGCCAGCGGGTCGGTCTTGGGGAGAGAACTTCTGATTAGCAGCCAGCTGCAATGCCCTGCCCGTCGCATCGCGTAGTGGACGCGCCAAGGCTGGGTTGCACGCTAGAAGTCTGGCAAGAAGCTTCGTCCGGAAGACCGTGGGGCGGGTCGATGCCGTCGAAGTTGACAGAGTCGGGGTCGAAATTAACCATAGAATCAAATGGAAATGCTGATAGATCTCCTCCGTCGAGAAGGTCAAACGCGAACCCGTCTTCAAGGACTGAAGAATCCGACCCAGCGGGAGAATCACCGCTGAATAGGCGGTTGAAGTCATCGTCAGAAAGAGGAGCTGCAAGGTCATCTGCAGCGTGAGATTCCACGTTTGAGCCGAGCTCAAACAGCGAGAGGGCGCTTCCATCTCCTTCGAGACCAGCGACTGACACTGCAGGTCGCACAACACCGCTGCAGGATGTTGTGTCAAGTCGGAGGCTTCAGCCAGAGTGGAAGGCCGGAGGGTGGGGGAGTAGTCGGTGAGAGGAGAGGTCGGGAAGGGAATTCGGTCGAGGGGAAGCTCGTCGCGCTCCTGCTTGAACAGGGTGGGCGTAAGGGTGGGAGAGGCCGAAGCAGGGGGGCCGGGCTTGGGAGTGTTGCCCCGGGAACCCCTGACCTCGGCGGATAGTTGAGCGACTTGTTGGTTCAGGCGGTTATTTTCAGCTTCCATCTGGGTCAAGCGCTGGAGAAGGAACTGGTTCTGTTGCTCCATCTGAATTTTCTCGTTTTCTAGTTTCTCCATCTCGAGACGCTTGCGCTCTCGAGAGGTTTGTGCGGCAGCACGATTCCGAAGAACACGCTCGATGCGGCGCTGCTCCTTTTCGTCCTCCGTCTTGGCCCGTTTCCTAGGATTTGTACATTAGTATCATGCTTCAATAATCAGGACGCCCTTGCATGGATGGATGAACATACCTTGGAGGAAGGTTGGTCTTAGGGACTGGTAACTCCTGGCCCCATGACTTTCTCTTCTTCGCAGGCTTCTTGTCCTCTGCTTTGGTTTCGGCCTTGACGGTGGGATCGTTCAAGGAAGTGTCCGCTGGGGAGACGGTGAGCATGGGAATCTCCGGAGCCGGCGAGCCAGCCAACGATTCCACTGGAGAGAAACCGCCTTCCATCTTGCAAAGGCGATATGTTGATCGAATGACAGGGACTCGGATCAACTGTGAACTGTCTAATCGTAGACTGGATGGGTCACGAAAGCAAGGTGGTGCTCAATGCTCAGGAAGGCGTAGCTCAATCACGTCTCTTTTTTGCCCAGGTCACAGGGACAGAGGCCACGGTGTCATCACGGTACAAGCCAGGTCTGGGGGAGGGGCCAGGTGGTTGACCAGCGGCGTTTTGGTTGGTTAGACCCAAAACGGAAGCTGGGGGAAATGGGAAAAGGACAACTGTCCACAAAGGTAGCGAAAGTAATAAGATGGAGAGGGTTGACTGCTTTCAGACAGATAGACAGATTGAATGAGTGTGTCTGGGAGAGGGAAAGATTGCCTCTTTAAAAGGCCAGCGTGGTCAGTTGAGGGGGCGTCTCCTTTTCGCAAGGGGGCGGAGTCTCCCTTCGTCACCCAAGTACCTGTCATGTATTGTAAGATATGTGGTACTTTACCACCGTTCCTTGGGAATGTACCTTGAGGGCTGTGTTTGGGGCCGTATGGAGCTGTATGGGACCGTAAGCCTCACCTACAAAGCCGGGCTGGAATGGGAGGTGGTACCAATTGAAACCAATTGAACCCCCCCTCCTGAAGCTGTTCTCTCCTCCTCTCGACTCCTCTTTGCTTCATCCACTTTCCCATTCCCTTTCAACCTGCGACACGCTCCGTCGAGATTGTGGAACCCTCTTCCGGCCCCCCCTCTTCATCATCAGTGATCGGGAAATCTGATTGCTCTACCCTCCAGGTTTGGCCCCGCCCCCCTCAATGCCATTTTTATCCCTGCTCCGGACGGTCCTGAGATTCTCTGCCCTTTCGACTCTAACCCGCTCCGCTCGCTGACGAGAGCCGCCGTTGCGAATCACTAAGACACGGTTGCTGACTCTGATGCTCCTTAGCGCCTTCGCAGGTTCGTATTCGCTCGCATCGGTCATCCTTCACTCGACTACGCTATCTTTATTCTTGCTCTTGAGATTCATCTTTCGCTTTGTCCACTGCACCCGAGACGTTCCACGGTTACACCCTGAAAGAACCGGGCAGAGAGTGGGAAACACCTCAGCTCAGTGGTGCTAATGGCGTGATCTGGGAGACCATGAACGCAGATCTCCACCGGGCCGTACTAATGACTCCCCCTGTCTGGGCTCGGCCGTTGCAACTTCCGTGGTGAATGCAGTCTAGCCAATTCTTCGACCTTCTGCGCCCGAGAGACTTTATTATTGGTGGATCTTAGTCTACTCTCCGCCATGCTCCCCCTCCCCCCCTGATTCGGCTCGTCTGGAGTCTTGAACTTATCTCAATCAACCTGCACAAAGGAGATAGTCTATCCCCCGCTCCGCAATGTAGACTATCGTCGGAGATTATTGTGAGCGATTTAGGGGCGTTCTTTGAGAATTCTTCCATGACAAGGGGTGCGTTTGTGTGCAGTCTGCGAATAAGATCGTGGACTAAGCACTGAGCTGCCTCTCAATTGGGTGATTGATGCTCACATCTGGTGCTTGATTGACGGGCAGTCACGTTCCTGCAGCCGTTCATCGCGTGCTGGGAAGGATCAAGATGTTCACCTTATTCTTCCTGTACCGAGTTGGTAATCACATGGCCTCCATCTTCGGTTTTTGTTGACAGGATAGTAGCTCCTTGTCGTACTTGCTGCTCTCACACAGGGCTCGCTCATCAAGCCCCCTATTGCATTCCCTACCCCCTTGGAATTTCACCGTACATTATATTTACCTTAGGATGCCCAGCTTGCCCCTTCCTCGTTGAATAGCGTGCCACAAATTTTCTGTGAACCTCTTTTGTGTCCCATCACCAAACTTGACCCAACATCGACTCTCTTCAGTCGATGTTCCTGGCTCGCAATGCCCCCCCCCCCCCCCCCCCGCATACGTCTCGATATAAATAGCCGACAGATCCCCAGGAGGTCCTTGACGATCATCCGCATTATTCGCGTTTGATCGGCTGCATTACGTGTGCCGCCAGTGCAATGCATTCATAACAGCGTCCGTCTCAGCGAAGTTTCAGCTCTTGAGGAGCGGCGCCATAGCACTGCCTACGCGATTCGCCGCCTCCCACGTCCTGAACTCAAGAGGCAGCGCGAAAGAGCGAGACATTCGGTAACGTTATACCTTTTAGGAATCTCCTCAACGCAGGCTCTCGTATTCCCGACAGCGGCCTCGGGTTCTGCTTGGCGGCTCGTATTCCCAATCTACGTGAGCATGCTGTTCGCTTCATGACTCCCACACTCTCGACTTGCAATCGAGCGTCCAGATGTCGCGATGTGTTGTTTGCGCACGATGGACGAGCGTATAACAAACGCGCACTAACCGTCTCCGCGATGTCATGACGGGTGTTGGGACTTCATACGTTATCGGCCTGTAAGCTACGGTGGTTCTGTGCTCGCCGGTTAGCAGATCTCTCTCGTCTGTAGCCTTTGACTCTGAAGGTTGGGTCTCAGAATAGCTCAGTAGTCCGCGCGTAGTCCAGTTCGACTCATTGATGATGACTTTGAGACGTGCCATCACTTCTGAGTATATTGCTATCTTTTCACTTGTAGTAGGTTAGCATGTGTCCGCCAAGCAGACTGGCCACTTTCAAGAAGAATGGACTCTGTCGGATGGATTAGATATACAATGCAGTCCAGCGAGCATTTTACTGCGTCAAGCCTTTCCTTTATACCAAAGCATGTGTGAAACTCTAAATTGTCGAAGAAATTGAAGATTTCACTGTCTTCGTTCATGCGAAGATTCTCATCTTCTCCCAGATGAGGTTGAGTCTTAGGCCGTGGTTGCACACAATATATACTTCATCTTACTATCTGATGTCCCGTACAACTAACTTGAGCTATGATTCGAAGTTTCTTGTTATTTGCTCAGGTTGTGGATTGT